GATAGATAGATAGATAGATAGATAGATAGATAGATAGATAGATAGATGTGACATTTCAAGTGCAGATGTCACACAGAGTGCGTCTCGCGTGTTTGTAGTGATAATGTATCTTCTGTTTCTGAACTTCTGACGTAAAACGGAGAGACATCCAGTGCTCGTATCATGAGACAATTCCATTTAAAAGTTGGGGAGATCCTCACAGCCCTGACTCTTCTTACCCAGGACCAGACGCGCGCCCCGTTCTCTTGACAACATATCCCATCATATCCTGCCCAAACGTGCGGTGGAGGAGCTTGAGGCCCCTTTTGTTCGGGGCTTTGTAACGGCACAGCTGTCGGTCTCACATGACGCGGGGCCGCGCAGACAACAATGCGGCGCTGGTACAGTGCGGGGAACCGGACTTTTGACGCAACAAACCCCCCGCAGAAAAACTCAACCCCGGCGCTACTACTCACCATTCGGCGGCTGGCGTGCCTCTCCTCTTCGGACAAACTTCGCACGGAGACGTTGGCGCTGGGCATTCTCTCCTCCCGTCCCTCCCCGGCCGAGGAGCGAGCTACTGCTTCTTCATTTCAGGACCCGGACTCGTCTCCAACTCACGCCTGAACTCGTGTCCATGTTTAACCCCCTTCTCTTTCTCTCTCTCTCTCTCTCTCCCTCTCTTTCTCCCCCCTCCTCACACACACCAGTAATTACGCGCACTCTAGGCGCACTCTCCGAAACACAGCAACTATTCGTGAACCCAAAACTCCGCCTATTTGGTATCTGCAGAGGGGAAGAGGGAGGAGGTTTAACTCTTTCAGCACACGTGATATTTTTTGGAGGGGGGCTGAGATAGAGGAAGCTTCTCCGAATTACCTCCAAGTGTCTGTGGGTGTGGTCCAGCCGGCCCCTCGTTGCGCATCTTTTTTAATTACTTCAAGAGTTTATCCGTCAGTGTAGAGCTGTAAAAGTACAGAAACTTTGAATTTACACGAACTGCTACAGGACAAGTTGTCCCTCCCCGCAAAAGCAAACGACCAGAAACCAAAGTATATAAAGATATTAGAGGATTTGCCATCGCTCATACGTTATGATCTGAAGGATTTTACAGCGGCGATGGATGGAACTGAACCCCAAACACCAGCAACATGTCATTACAAGTCATCAATTCATCTAATGACTCACTTCCTTCATACATCATTCATTGTCATATTTATTCTATTATAAAAAACCTATACAGAATGCTTTACATATACCGTCCGGTATATATATTGTTATTCTGTTGTACACTATTTAATCGGAAATGATAAGCATTTTGTGTGCTTTTTACACAAATAAAGTTAAATATTTCCCTTAAGCACAGCGTCGTCAGGGTTTGTCACAAGTAGAAAGTTTTAGATCAAGATGAAAAATACGTTTCACTTAAAGAGCAGAATGAGAATGATGCTGTATTTTCCGTGAAAAGTTAAGTGTTTGAGTATCATAAATGATTTCAGATTGTGTATGACTGGAACCATAAGCTACAGGAAGAGAAAATTTAATTGGCATCATCATTACTACATCATGTGGTTGATCGCTTGGACAGAATACTGCAGGAAATAGCTATTATTTTGCCATGTTTGTTGAGTAACTCTGTATCTTAATGAGTGACATTTTTCAAATCAGTATAACAAGTTCAGCCACTTGTTTTACAATCCTTTTTACCAACACGCCCTCAAGCAGGCCAACCTAAACTCCCAGGAGGCCATGGGAGTGCTCCTACTGGTTCACTCCCATTTATCCAGCTTGGAATGAACTAATCCACCTAGTCTTAAACACAAAAGCCGGTGTTGCATCACAAATCCCTGACCCTTCACAGTTACAATGAGTATTGTATTTGCAAGTCTAAATTCTGTGGATGTCTTTTAAAGAGATCAAAGAATGAGCGTCTTTTTGTGGGCCATATAGTGGGTGTGCCATGTGCTGATATGCATCAGTCTTTGCGTTTCAAAGAGGAAAAGAACAAGTGACGTGATGTGGAGACCCACACAAAGAAGCAACTGGATACGTCCCACAACGGATTTCTATAAACGGCAACTAGCAATATCACTCATCAGCTCATCAACTTTTAATGCAGCCATCGGGTCGCTTTAATTAGCTGGGTACGGTCATGAAGTAAGTACAGCAAAAGGAGGCTTACAGACACCGTCTGAGCCCCGATGAAAAATTCATCAGCCAATAATACAAAGTCTAGCTCCCTGTAAGAACCTCCAGCTCCACGATACCCAACACGATACAAAACAATAAGGCAGGGGGGAAGGATACAGATTCTGCATTATTCAGGGAGACCGCGTCAATCAACTGCTCAAAGAATACGTTTCAAATTCTGAGAATAACTACAACTTAGAACTTTGCAACACACGTAGACAGAGGCACTATATACTTCCAGGTAAAATTAAATAAACATAATGGTTAATTAGTTTATTTGAACTGGAGTACAGGGATGTATTAAAAAGGCTACATGAACCTGAATGACCTTTTTTTGCTTGCCAGTTTAAAAAAAACAAAGCCTTAACCAAAGTTTACTCCACATTTATCTAAATTTAGATAGAAATTGTGACAACTGTCCTGCATACGGAGCTTTTACAGCTGATTGTTGAATAATCTCTTCATTCATAAAGGCTTTTCAAGACACTGAATGTTAGCCAGCTAACACGACTGTGTGTGAGCTCCGTTCAACCAAAAGTGTACATCCGTTGGCAGTAAATAAAATGATTTTTCATCCCTAAAGGAAAACCGTCTGTTTCTCTATCCCTGCTGAAAGCAGAAGCTTGATCGTGGAAACGAAAAATATGAGTGAAAGATGTTTTAATTCTTAAACAACATTGCTATCGGTTTCCATCCACATTTGTCCAAATAATGGAGTCCACAAACTGCCAACGATGTCCATCTGGCCTCTTGGGGCATTCTATATACAAATGTACATACAGCTACTTCAGATCCACATTATGCCAAAAATCCTTTGGATTTGCAAAATAAGAAATGAAAGTTATAACCCTTTACCATATCTCATGAATCAATTCACATTATGACAAGTTTTTTCCCCCCCCAATATGCTAAAATGAAAAAAAGCATGGGCATTTTCGAAAAGCAGTGGAAAAAAAATAATTGTCGCCAAGTCGTTCAAGGTACAAACGTGATCTGCAGAAAAGAAACGCTTGGACAGCATAAAATACTATACAATAAAAGCACAATCTACAATGCAAGTTGCAAGGGCTGATTCCTGAACGAGCAGATGCTGGCAGGCTCTGGGGATGATCTTATTTGTCTTCAGTAATTCAGCCTTAGCCCTGACAGCTTTACCCAGGAGTTCGACACAGGAGCAAATGAGAGAAAGCACAGTTGATAAATGATGATCATAAATATAGTTCGGTATAACCATTCGGTAACTACCGGGGTCTTGAATGGATTCCAGTCCAGTTTTCACAATCCAATGCTGCTGTTACTTATGGCACAGTTTGTCAAACGCCAGAGGCCGCCTGGCTGTTGTAATCAGTCGACTCCATTTTGAGGATGTAGGGGATGATGCTGTCGATCTGTACGTTTCCTATGAGCCCAGCGAAAAACAGCTCCTCGGTCACAGCTGCACTTATCAGCCTGAGGGCTGGAAGACGGAGCAGGAGCTTGGACAACCTGCGTGTAATGAGGGGGAAAGGAGACATGAGGTCCGAACATGTGCCAAGTACATCTGTGATAACATCATCAATCTGTCCTGCTTTGCAGACTTAAGTTTGTGCGAGTGCACTTCTTTCCCAGCGGCGCGGGTGTTATGCGGTGGAAAAAGCTAAGCCAACAAACCGGTAGGAGTCTTCTGGGTAGACCCTGGTTACGTAGTCCTGCAGCTCTATGTAGGCTTTTTCCTGAAACCGCTCTATCTGAGAAGTGTGATCTATGCCTGGGTGATCTAGCAGAAAAGCAATGCAAGCCCACAGGGATGAATAAGTGCATCTGCACACGCCAAGGATTCCATTTTAACACAAATTTGTAAACTGGCCGCTTGTCTCCACAAACCTGGGCTAAAGAGAACGATGGCTTTGAGGTAGGCATATTCATAGGAGTCTGGGGACAGCTTGGACATGCTGTTACAGAACTCCTGCATCCTCCAAATGTGCTCCATTACTATTTTTACCCTTTCAGGAGAGAGTTTATCTGTGTAGAACAAAAAAGGATAGATGTTAGATGTGGAGGCTCAAGACATTTTCAACTAATTAAAGAGCAAGACAGACAACCTGAATACATTGCATTTAACATGTGATTTGACCACATTAGCTAACAGTTTTAGCCTTCAGAAACCCCAGTGTTGGAGCAAACATCTCAGCTCTCCTACCTTCCTGTAGGCTGGTCTGCAGATGGTTGATAATGGCACTTAGAATGGTGCCAACATTCATAACATTGGAACACTGGGCCAGGCCCAGGGCAAAAAGCTCATTCCAGCAGGCTTTCATCAAGTTAATGTCATTGTCTTGAACACTGCAAAAATAACACATGCAAACTGAGCACACACTTTGGACACAGATGTAACCCTTTAGTCATTTTTAGATTAATATGTGCTCTATTCCAATAGAAATGTTAACGTTTGTTTTTTTTAAACTGTTAAAATCCTCTTACCCGAGAGTTTGAAAGGCAGGTATGGAGCGTGCCCAGTGCATAGACAGGAAAAGTAGCCGGGACGCCGACTCACAGATGTAGTTTACATTAAGGTACTCTGGTACAGGCAAAGGCATCATGAGCTGCAGAGAGCGGAAAGAAAGCACGAGTGAAGGACTGAGTCTGAAACTAACTCTAATGACATGAACGCGGGGCTGGGCGAAATTGGGAGCTGTCAGTCAGAAGCTCTGCTTTTTACCTTGAAAGGAATATGGCTCTCAGAAAGCAGGGCTCCCTCCAGTTCCACCACAGGGCCCGACTGGTCCCCTGACATCAGCTGCATTGTGGCCTCCAAGGTATCTCCTGCTGAGCTGTCACCAGGATGTAGCACTTTGGCCAGAGTGTCAAAAGCTCTAACATACACATTTGGGCACAAAATGTTTCAAGTTTAAAGACAGACCCTTTTGAGGTTTCGCACTGAATACATTTGGAGGTAATATGGAACACAAATCAAAGCTCTGACGTGCAACATAAACTAAACTGACATAGTCCTGGATTCACAAAGTGCAAATCCAATTGAAAACATAAGATCAGAGTCAGAAACCAGATGGCCCATTAGTAAATTGTATTAGAGCATCATGGCAAACATAAAAATGCCCCTGGGTTTTGCTCTAATTCTATTAAACTTGTTCAATCTGTGCATTTTGTTATTGAAAAAACAGCCACAGGTCAGGATCAGGGACTTGGATTCCTTATGAGAACTCTCACCTAGTGATGTCACTGGCAGTCTGATCATCTCCCTGGGTGTCTGTAATTGAGCTGTCACCGTTGCTGAGTGTTTCAGCTTCCATCATGTCATTCCCGCTGTCGCTGGCCTCCCTGGTCTTGTTCAGGTGGGCCAGCGACGTAACCACATTTGCCAGCGTACCAAGGTCCCCTTGAGATGGGTCCTCCTCCTGTGGAGAATGAGAGGGTGATGATCAACCATTTCAAATAAATATTCCATCCAGGCTTACTTAATCCAGTTCAGGGTCTGGCTGGGTTGGAACAATTAACCAAACGTGAACGGTTTGGGAAGAAACAAGCGCTGGGCTTTGACTGCACTCTTACCTTGTCTGGGGAAGTTGGAATTAGGATGGTGTTTTCCAGCTTGGAGAAGGGTTGTTGGATGTTGAGCAACATGCTTGACTCAAGTAAACTTGTTGACCTAAAATTTGAGATTTGAGAATATTAGAGACTGCTAAAACAACTGAAGTACATTTACGACAGCAGGTTTCTTTGTATATGCGTACACAGTTATTTAACTCGCCCTAATGTCTTTCAAAACCAGTAACACTTCATAGTGGATGACATTTCCTAATTCCATCATCTTTGCAAGTGTTAACAACTAAGAAAGCTATTCAAATACAAAACTGCCAAGTACCAGAACTAGCTGCAGTAATTCAGAAAATACCTACAGGAGACTTTTTAATTATGTTGCGTTTATTTTTACATGATTCCAATAAGGGAGGTCTACTATCTACCTTGCGGTTTCCTTGTCAGATACAAAAGTGGGCGTGGCTGCCAGAGGGCTGCAAAGGTTCTTGCGGATGTAGATCTTTTCGGTGGAGGCTGCGCAGTTCACAGATTTCTCTCTGGTGCTAACTTCAACAGGCTTTCTTTCACATTGTACAGCTAATAGAAAGAACAGATGTCAGACCACATTCACATGAATTACTTACACATTAACATTGGTGTGTGTGTGTGTATATGTAGCGTTAGTCTCTTACAATCCTGTTTCATGCCCAGAGCTATACAGCGCTGCAGTCGGCAGTACTGGCAGCGGTTTCGGTGGAGCTTGTTAATGGCACATTCTCCGGAACCCCGGCATGTGTACACCAAGTTCTTTCTGATGCTGCGTTTGAAGAAGCCTTTACAGCCCTCACAGCTGACAGCTCCATAATGTCGCCCTGATGGAACAGGTGAGCGTAGGCATGTGTCAAAGTTATGGACAGTTCAGAAATACACATTTATATTTGTTGTATATTACTGTCAGTTCTACCTGAAGCTTTATCCCCACAGACGACACAGTACTCCACCACAGGCTTGACAATAGACTGGTCAGAGCCCTCGGTTACAAACTGAAAAACAACCCAAGACAATAGAATCGCTAAATACGGCTAACAGTGTAATTAAGTTTAGACGACCTAAACATGTTGATGCTTGAGTCATGAGACCATTCCGAGGCTTGTTTGTCAAAACTATCAGGAAGAGGTCACAATCATCCTCAGGCAGTACCTGAATCTGCTGTCCAGCCAGCTCCGGGGAAGCAAACAGCAGCTGGTTGACCCCAGATCCATCTGGAGTGGCGAGGATGACCTTGTTTGGTGAGCCTTCCTGCTTGGTCAGGATCACCTTCCCACCAGAGGAATAGTCCGCATTTGCTAAGATAAACTGCTGCTTTCCAGGAGAGGATGGTTCGAGGGCTGTGACAATCTGGATCTTTTGGCCAGTCTGCTGATCAGTTACTATCTATTAAAGATAAATATTTGATACATTAGGATGTAATGACACAGAAAAGAAAAAGAAAGTTAAAAATATATATGTAAAATTGTATCCCAATGGTGGCCTTCAGAGATGAATAGGCAAATTAATTACCTGGATTCTGTGTCCTAAAGCCATGCTGTTGTCTGTTGACACAAGCTGAATCCTTTGAGTCTGTCCATCCATTTTGATGCCGCACACCTTTGTCCACTGCCCTTTTTACATCAGCGCTCCATGAACCACGCACACCTGCAGAACAAGCCATGTATGTCAGTGTAATAGGAGCCAAATCATTTCAGTTGATTACTTCACATTTTAAGAAAATCATTTCAAACTATTATTTGACTTTGTGGGCAGCCTTAGTAGTGCGGCGGCAGCTGAGTCTTTACTCTGAAATAGATACTGCCGAATAAAAGGCATTTTCTGATTACCTTAATCTGAATAAGGTTAGAGGAAGCGATTTAGTCATGTGAAAAATTCTATTCTGAGGCGTAATGTGCCAATATGGAAATACTATCACATCCTACTGTAGTTTTCACAGCTCAGTGACAGTTAACTACTGCTTAACAATGCAAGTCCTTGGTTCAAAAGACAGTTAAACATGATTGCTGCAAAAAAGAGTAAGAACGTTTAGAGTGAGGCAGACATCTGGGTTATCCTAAATATTTTACATGATATGGATATGAGGAAGGCTGTGGTTGGGAACAAACATTGCAGATTGGACAGTATTACTTTTTACATTTATGATGGTTACAAATATTCTTATTTCAAACAAAGTCACTGTAGACTGAGTGCTACAGAAATATACATTTGCAATACGCCAGTAACAACAATTTATACTGACTTATTAATTCCTAACCAGATACAAAAAATTATTAACAAATTTATCTAAATTACAATTATTCTAATTTTCCTGAGTTACATATGTTCATACCATTTTAAATGTTTTTGTTTATCTTTACTAAATTAAACATGTGTAGGTAGAAGACATTGTGTACAACAGCGAGGTTTTAAGTTAAAAACTCATATGAAAAGATAGTTGGGCTAACATATTGGTTCAGAAACTGTTAAAATGGCACCTACAAAAAAGTAAAAAATCTTAACAAACGCCACAACTCCTTTTATCCTTCATGTTTACTCGTTTTATTGTTCTCTTCGCCAAAAGGAGATTTATGGCTAAGAACAGGTTTAAATTTCATTGTGGTGCAGAGTCAAAGTTAGCCTGATCTGAGCCAACTGTTAAAACAGCCATTTGATATATATATATTTGATATATAGAATGTAAATAAATATTACTTTGTGGCCTCGGCTAACAAATGAAGCGGGTGCTAGCCAGAAATAAAGTACAGGTCAATACACCTCTATGGTGACGATAAATGAGCGCTAAAAACACTAAAGGATCACTGACATGTTTCTGACAGCCTGCTATTTAAAATCGATACGGAAGATAAAGGTATTTCTTTTCCTGTGGGTGAAAGGTCAACATTGAAGGGTTAAAGCATGCTAGGGTTCAAGGCCCGTAATGCCGAGCCGCAGTCTGCGGCGACTCTTCCCTTCCGACAAATGGGCCAAAACAGACAGCTTCTAACGACGGATTTTCACGCCGATCGACGCCTTACACGGATACTTGACGTTTTAACACAGTAAATCACCGCTATCCAGTCACCCGAGCGCAAGTGGTGTGGTCGTTTGTTATCAGAAATGCATTCAGTAATGCTAGCATCAGCAGCTAACAGTAGCATGGGTGGCTAACGCGGTTACGATTATCGGCTAACTAGCATTTCGCTTAAGAATTGCATTTCATGTTATTAGTTTGAACATCTGCGCATAAATCACATATGGTATATACAAAGAGTTCAAGCAGGTACGTATACATAGAAAGTTAAGGACCTGTCAAACGTATTTTTCTCGGCGGAGCACTCGACGTCAGTGCTAAGGAGCTAAGTTAGATGCTTGCTAGTTTTTTTGCTAATAGCAGCTTCCCCCCTGCAGACCTACAGCATACTGCCTTCCTTCCTGTTACTGGCTGCTCGCTGGTCTTTCATGAAACTGTCGTGCGTACGCAATCACATACAATTCTTACCTGTTTAGAAGATATGTTAGAATAAAATACTGTCTACAATAAATTAATATTTTAAATGTTTGCTGCAGTTGGTGGGAGGGTCAGAGTTCGTGACCTTTTTTTTTCAGCAATAAACTCTTTGCGCGCATGCGCAGATGGGCAGCTGCAGTTCGTGTTTTTCTTTCTCTGTTGAGTGTCCGTTGACGGACCATCTTTTTGCGTCTCTTTATGGTATCTTCTGGCCACCTTTGAGTGTGAGACTAAGTGCAAATATGTATGGTGTATATATGGATCTGAATCAATAAAACTAAATTTTAAAACAATGTCATGTTGTGTTTTAAATCCAGTTGCCATTTCTGAGTTTCTATGTGTTTATTGTGCATCACCAAAGTTCTGGTAAGAAACATTATACCTAAGAACAGATTCATGTTAAAAGTGATCAACCGCTTGGTTTCACATTTAATTGCTGGTTTTACAGTAAGCAGAAGTTTCACTCAGATTACATGTAAAAATACAGCTAAGTAATACTTTCCATAAAAACAGTAAAAGTACCATGAGCATGGTACTGACCATAGGACATGTATTTTTCCAAGACAAGTACATTTAATTGGTAGCCAAAGTTAACAGTGGTGTGAAGTGAAACAAAAAACTATAGGAACATTTTACTGACAAAATTTAAGAAGTAAAAATAAGATACAGTGATTGTCTTTATAGAGTGAACATAATGAATAGAACCTATATACAGTTTTGAGTGATTTAAGTGCAAAACAAATGTTATGTTAAAAACGAGAAACATTATGTGCAAAAGTGAATATTCCCCTAGGACATATTTAAAACCAAAGATAAAATGAAGTTTAAAAAGAAACCACAAAAATGTCAAGCGGTGAGTTCACACTAGCTAGAAAGGAATAAAATTATACTAAAGTACAACAAAGAAAGAGAGCTCATATGTTTTGAATTATTGCGAATCAAAGTGTTGTGCTCCTTAAAAAATGGCTGAACTATTTACACAAAATCGTGGTCCAGGGAGATCCAAGTAGTTGGGTTTTTACCAATGCAAGTATTTTTTTCAAAGTCGAAGCATTTAAGTCTGAAACAGCAATAGACAAATTAATAATATTTCTTAAACAGGAGCTAATACAAAAAAAAAAGGAAAATGTTATACAAAAAAAATTTAAATCACATTCCGCTGGCTGTTGAACAAACAAAAAGTAATCTGGGAAAAACATTATTTAGGCTTTATTGATACTAAATAAAAATGGTGCCTTCAAATGCAGATTTGAAAGTGCTGAGGTAAAACTTGTTGAGGCAAAGGGTGAGGAAGTCTGATGAAGAGCTTCACAAGTTGACAGATGTTACAACACAGTGGCCTCTTTGAATGAGTCAATCCATCTGTCAATCCAACCAAATAAAGATGGTTACTGGTTTTGCTGCCTTCTCAATATGCGACAATAACTGCTGTCATTCTTTCTCCAACGTACCTTTGGGCTGTCTGCACATCGTCAGCTGTGAAAACATAGTGTAGAGTGTTTTTGTGATAGAGTTTAAACCGCAGTTTCTGCGATGAGTCAACTTTCAACACGAACCCTAACAGGGGCTGACTCTCCAAGGCTGCAACATCCTGCGTTAAGAAAAGATACAAGCAACAAAATTAAAACTCAAACTTTGTTCAATGAAGCTGAGTTACTACTGACACCCATAGGCGTCCTTACCTCACTTGCAGCATATGTGTAGAGGACTTTATCTTTGATGACAAACCACAGTCTTTTCCCCTGCTTTTTATTTTGTTTGGACCTTTGCAGATACCCGCTCATGGAGGAGTTGTCTGTGTTTGCTGACACCTAAAACCAGTAATACTCTTCTGATGAGTTCTCAGTTGTAAAAACAAATAAAAAAGCAGTAGAATAAAGTAGTACAATTTTATTGTTGTGCTGTTGAATTAAACTGGATTATTGGTTATTGTTGAGATGTAAATGGACAATCCAGTGAATGTAGGAAATTATATTTGTATATGCCTGTATCTCTGCTATATTTACATTCTTTGCACAGAGACATCTCTGTCACTGTTCAGATCGACAGGCCTCCCTTAAACAAAATTATCTCCTAATTTAGTTAGAAAAAGTTGCTGGCGTCCAGCAGAAGGTTCCGCAGCATCTTCTGCAGAACGACCACACCACTAAATAGTTTCTTCCCCCTTGCCATCAGACTACTTAACGCCACATAACCCCCCCCCCCATACACACACACACATATTTATTGATATTTTGTTGCTAAAAATTTTACTCTGGTAGCCAAGGAATTGACATTTCGTTGTCTAATTCACCTTGTGTTTTTGACAATGACAATAAAGGAAGTCTATCTCTATCTATCTAAGTGTAGCATCAGAATGATCCAGAGATACACGCCGTTCTCATGCCCCATTTACATTTTTGGCCTTAGGATTTGTTTTCTTGTTTCCTGTTACAACTGTGTAATACGAGCAGGACCAAGCATGAGCTACCTCTTTGAGGGCTGCAGGTATCTTCTTCTGCTTCCTGGAGAATGCAAAAGCGCCTTTGTTTCCAGGGGAAATACCTGCTGATGAGGCCATTTCACCTGGCAAAAAGACACAGACAGAGGCATGACATCAAATGATGGGAGCAGACTGGGTCTAATCAGAGATATTTCAGCGTGACAGTCTAAAAATGTGACTGTGGCAATGTGTCTGGACCTGACTCCAAACGGAGATGGGTGGACAACAACCCTTACTTTTCTGCATTTGAAGAGTGAGGAAGCACTGGTCACATACTCGGGCGAACTGGTTCTTTAGGTATTGAAGACGATGTTTGTTTGAGGAGCAAGACTGGCACACCACCTGGGAGGATGGAAAAGCACAACAATGTGACTCTCTGTAAGATTTTCTGGGAGAAAGGATTGCTCTTTTGCCTGCAACCCACTGGATATTATGAATTATCTACTTGGCAAGTGCTGAGGTAAGACTCTACTTCCTTGACAACCCACCATTTCTAATTTTGGATTAATGACTAGCAAAGCGATTGGTAGTGACTATTACCTGCATGTTTAATGCAAAACTGAGAGCTGTATCCATCTTCTTTTCAAGTAATCGAGTTGCATTTCTAACTTCTCAACATTGAAACATGTTTTGAAAATTACAACTCCCCCTCTAGGGCGAGGTTGCGTCTCTGTACCTTTCCACATCCACGGCAGTGATGTCTCCTCCAGGTTATGGTGAACTCACAGGTGCAGATCATGCACATGGTGGCACGCAGATCAGGGATCCAGATGGGAGCTTTGGAGCCCAGCGGAGCACCATCTGGCTCGTCATTCACTTCTAACTGGGTTCCAGACAAAACACACAGGGGTTATCGCTGAGCGCTCACACATGTTCTCTTTTGTGTGTTTGTGTCTGGTCTTACTGCCTCCAGAGGTTTCCCAGATATAAAGCTGATTTTCTTTTTGGCATAATCACTGATTGCTGTGGAAATTGCCTCCAGCCATTCATCTCGCTCTGTGGCCGAACTGCACGAGGAGAAAGAAAAATATGACTAATCACACAGCAAAAGCATAGCTGTCACAGAGTCTTTTTCTTTTTTTTTTAACGCAACGGTCACAAAACGTGCTCTTAAATTTACCTGGCAGAGAGGATGAAAGAGCGCTCCACGCTCTCTATGTTCAGCTCATTCTGATAAGCCTCTTGACTTGGTTTGCTAACCTGTAATTATTTTCATTGTGAGCACACATTATTGTGTACTAATATGTTTGCATTAATGTGAAATGAGCATGGTTAAAGTTAATTAAAAAAACTGGTTCCCACCGTCATCCCAGCCAATGACAGCATGTTTTTGAGCTTGTACTGTCCTGACTGAACCGGGGTGGTGTACAGCAAAGTGTCGTTAAACTACAGGACAAATAGCAGGGAAACATCACTTTAATAAACAGGAACACAAAGCAAGATCAGTAAAACAATGACACAACTATGCTGACATTAATATGCTATTAATTAGATTTTTTTATACAGTCCATTGCAAAGTTTAGGGTCATACAGTGACAAGGTCTATCCCATTTAAGTTATATTTATCAATACAGGAAAAACACGATGTGGCTGCATAATGTGTCTTTCCTTTTTTTTTTTTTTACAAAGAAGTCACTTTGCTTTGGACTGAGAGTGCAGCCCGCTGAGGCAGAAAATGCTGGCTTTGTAGTTTTACTCAAATTGTGTTGTGAAAGCAAGAAATAGGAGAGAAGAAAGCAATAGCTGTGTACCGTACCAGGAAGAACATTCTGGGCTGCATGACCTTCCTGGAAAGCTTCATCAGAACTCCCTCTTTAAGGAAAAGCTTTAGCACATAAAGACAAAAATAACCAGCGGATCAACTAATCATAAGCAAATATTTCTATTCTAATCAATTTTTCAGCTTTGGGGGCTGCTCTGAGGGTCCTAAAAACCTTTACAATATCAGAAAACAAAGTTCCCTCTAACATAAAATGTTACACATAATTTTCAATAGCTGAAACAGTCTGCAGTGATAAAGGCTTGTCCTCATACAGAATCTAAAATGACATCTTTCTGACTTACCCGTCCTGGCTGGACTATCTCGTGGTGGCCATTCAGACGACACTGCACCTGAATGAGCTTCTGGAAGTTATCCTGAGATAAGACCAGCAGACGTCAGCAACACAAGCGCACCTTGGATTAATGTGTTGTGTGATGAAGAAAAATAACTGATCAAGGTTCTTATTTTTGCGCTCACCCCTTGCTTCATGATGTCATTGGCATGATTGGCCACTTCTTTCACCAAAGCGAGGGCAGCTAAGAGAATAAAAATGGATTTTGATGTACTGTTTCCATTCGACCGCAATAGCCAATACTTTGCGTAAACACGTTTAAAAGGCCAGCAGGTACCTTCAGTGTCCTTGTAGTCATTTGAGTCTTCAGAGAGGTTTTTTAGGTAGTCTGAAATAAAAGTACAACATTTTACTGTGGGATTAAATAATTAATACCACACAAGCACAAACTCCTATCTGGCTTTTAAAGCATGTCTTGGGTAGTGAATTCTTGGAGTGCTTATTGAATAAGGTCCAGGTTAAAATGGGTCCACAGGTGCTTACATAATATAGTTATACCGGAATGACGTGAGAAACATTCTTCACATTTTGGCACGGTGTGTTCAGCTATTGAAGCACGAAACCCTAAGCACACTCATGTTAAAGCTCCTGTTATGTCACCAAATCTGATTTGGGCAGACTTTCAAAAATCGTCTTATATGTGGCCTGACGAGGCAAGGCCAGAACAAAGCTGGTCTCTGGTCACCAGAGGGCAGCATAGAGCCTTAGATGGGATTTAAGAGAGAAGCAAGCTACTGCACTGTACATACAAATAACCAACTTTGACAGAAATTAATTAAATAATAAATAATGAGGGGGGAAAATGTTGGTGTGAAAAGAAGTCCTACATAGATGTACCTGTGAGCAGCAGCTGATACTGAGGAATCCTCTGAACTGGCTTCAGTAGGTAATGCTTCAGGGCCAGATTGGCACAGCGAGGACTTGCCTAAATAAAACATTTATGAAAAACAAGGAAATTAAATGTATTTACTTTCACCAAAGCACAACTTCCTGGAACAAACACAGATACTGAACTTACGGATCAAATTAAACGTCATAGAGAGAGACATGCCTCAAACACAGAAAACCGGTTCAGCAAGCAGCATTACCTCAAATTCTCTCACTACTGCACCAAACGCAGGGTTCCTTTTGGTCTGCTCTTCCAGCAGAGCCACATTCTTGTCAAACTCACGGATGTATGTGGAGTACATCTTCAGATAAGGCCCTTTTTTCAGGAAAATGTCTGCAACCTGGGATTTATCATCCCTGAAAACAAAAGCAAGAAGTAGGATGAGAAACTTGAATCATTTCCTTGATATAAAACTCATGAATTTAGAAAGCCATGTGTATTTAGGATTTCTGTGTTTGGAAGGTTGCCGGTGGCCAATAGCATTCATTTCTATGTGTGAAGTTGATCATATAATCTGACTAAACCAAACCGTGTGAAATCACAACAAAAGTGCACAAAACTGGGAAGGCAACTTTTACCACTCGGCTACTCTGTGCTGCAGCTCTCTAAGCAAGTCTTGGTTGAGTTCATGGAGCTGTGGGAGGTAGTAAAGGATCTGGTTGAGAATACGCTCTTCAATTACAGGTTTTCCACTCTGACAAGAAGCCTTTGAGACAGATTCACGGAAGTCCTGTTGGTCACATAAACAGAGAAAACCAAATTATTAATCTAACACACTCACACAGGAGTAAAGAAAACAGAAAGAACTGATGTTGCACCCTTTAGATTGGGAAAAATAAAAGTTTTAAATCTGTCATAGAGTCAGCGAGGTGCAATTTAGATGGATTAAAGTACAAATGATGAAAAAGAGGAACAGTGCTGTCCCATAACCTGCACACTCACGCACAAACCCACACCTGACTCGCATTAAGCATTCCTAAACTCCTCAAACACTGCATCAGGACTAAAAGAGGAGAGCCTTTGGGGCCAATTTAGCTGATGTGGAGACTTTTTGGTGGTTTATGGGGACACGTGGCAAATAAAACTGCTTACAGACCGAGTATCCAGTAAAATACTCCTGCGGTTAACACATGTCAACTCCTCTTGCTACAACACTTCCAAGTGTAAAAGGTGGGTCATGTGGAATGGGAGGGAAGAGAAAAAAATGGCTTAAAGAATTATGCTGACATGACTTTGGGCACTGAGTAAATATTTTTTGATAAGAGCAAAGTAGGTGGCATTTCAAACAAAGCTGATAAGAAGCTGTGGATTTTAGTTGGGTTGATTTCCTTCTTTTTTTCCAATTCAGTTATTTCCTTGCAAGAAACATGTTTTTCTAAAGTTTAAAGCTGTTGTCAGCAGCTGACATTTCGGAAAATAAATGTTTAACAGTGACAGCAACGTGCCACAGTTTCTTAAAGTATGAGTCAACTGATAAGACGATTTCACATGTGTTAACCCTCCTTTTGGTGCGGATATCGGGGTAAGAGACAAAAAAAAATGGTGCAGTGTCACTTCAAACCTTTTATAAACTAGGCATGTGGGTGTTATTCATTACTGAGCACCCTTCCTCTGCAGTCTACAGGGACTCAAGAACATCCTGTACATGCTGTGCAGAAGACAGCAAGCACTTGTGACTCAGTCCTGCTACGTGTTTTTGCATTGTGATCTTTTTTCTCAACAAGCATGCTCAGTTGACTTACCTTATGCCTTTTTTTTGTGGATATGATACAGAAATTGTGACGAAAGAATTAAAACTTTAAATTTGAAGTTATTCATCAATAACTCTGGTTTAAAAAATATATATCTTGGATCCCTTTTTATCCGTTCTTCTGTTTCTTTGACACATGCCCTTTTGTCAGCTTCAGATAATGCCATGTAGTATGCCTGTCTGACATTACGCCCATGAATTACAAAGTGAGAGGTGGGCTTTTTATAAACCTGTTTCAAATAAATTAAATATAAATCTCATCAATTTGCATTTAAACTATTTGTAAATCATTAAGAGCATGTATTTGAAGAACGGAACTGGTAAGAGTATTAAATGCTAAAGAAGAGAAAAATATATTTAAAAATAAAAATATGTTCATTTTAAATGTGGTGCAACAGGTTGGGTACTGTGTATATGTTCAATCTTTCTGCAATAAAGTTGGTTTTCTAAAATCATTAGAATATTCAGGAGTAGGACAGGAAAATGAACAGAAATTATTGCTGACAAGTAGTGATCCTTTGGCCCTCTGCCAGTGAAACATTACTCCGTAAATCATTGTATGAATTTAGAAACATCTCTGCAAATCCCTAACAGTGTGGTTTAACTTATCAAAATTCTTGCATTAAACCACAAACACTAACTTTGTGACTTAAACATCACTGAAGAATGACTGAGACATGCAGGTTCTGTTTACAGTTACGTGTCAGACTGAGATGAGTCCATTCTCTCCTATTCTCAATTTTACATACTTTCAGCTCCTTTTAAAGTAATGTCAAACATAATATAATGTGTGCAAACTCCATAACTTAAAGTGCGGTGTCTGTGGAAGATGGAATGAAAGCAGTGACATTCACAGATCCCACAGGGTATGATTTTTGTGATCACAAGTCTTTAATAATACCTCCATGATGTGACATTTGTGGGTATGAGTAAAATATCTCAATGGCAATTCAATAAACTACCATGGAAAGTAGTAATTATACTCATGTTCCCTACAGTGACTGTCATTTCATTTTCCCCATCTGTTCCCATGATCAAAACAAGATTTTTAAAGAAGAGAAAAAAATGTATGGTACTTTGTGAAAATTATGACATTAGCTGCAGCTTTTATTTAGTTTACAGAGTGTTGCAATGTCACACTTTAAGCACCACATGTTGGAATGCTGACATTAGCACTAAGCTAAAAGCACTGTATTCCATTGGACAGTGTCACAGAGCTAATGCCTGTTTCTATAGTCAGTATTAGATTTGTCTTGACCTTTGTGCTAATTTGAACAAACTATCATTTATGGCATTGTGATCAGTAGCGAGGTAGTAGGCAGAAAAAGCACAAAAAACATGTCAATAGAGCACGATAACCCACCAACGCAGACAAATACCTAAATTCCCCTCAGTGGTTTTATAATGCCTCACAAACAGTTTTAAGGAAGTCCATCAGAGGAACCTTCACTGGTTTATTGGTGACTTTGGGAGGGAAGACTTTAGCCCACATTTGTGTTCCCATTAGATTTCACTGCTGTTAACAATCTGAGGAAATCCATCAAGAATGTGAGTGAAAATGAGGGGAGTTATCATGCTTGGGGTGTGCCCTGATGGCTAGTATAATGAAATACATATGGAGAATGTGAGCTCAGGCAGCAGACCAGCAGTGGATCCAACACACACAGAGTAACCCGGCCCCTGTTATTGCCACAGCAAAAACACAACTGTTTTTTGTTGGATGTTGCCATTGGAAGACGTATGGGTACTTACAACATGAAGCAGCTTCAAGGCATCAACAAACCTACAAGAAGAAGGGAAGGGCAAAGAAAATGAAAGTGCAAAAAACAGATTAATATCAAATCATACACAGATGAACACATACCGAGTTACCTTTAAAAAAAAATTTGAGATAGTTGTCATTGTCTGATCAAAGTTACATAAAAGAATTGGTTTAAACCTTTTAATAAACAAATAACAAAGCTTTCTTAAAATTGTCTATTAAAGGAAGATAAACCCAACAACTAACAATGCTATCATTTAAAATACACAGTATAGCAGATATTTCAAAACCTTTCACATAGCTAGAGTGTACTACATGAAAAAAAATAGAATAGCCCTCTGCTTAAAGAAAAAAGGCGACTCTTACACACTCTCGGAGCTCATGATTTCTGTGGCGATGTGATGTATTTTGCTCCTCTTCTTTTCTCTCTGTTCCTAACAATGATGAAAAACACAAACTCTGAACTTGATCACGCATTATATTACATCCCCAAACTTGTTGATATTTTTTTTATGGAGTTTTTACCAAACACTGAACACACCACAGAATATCTGTTCCATACAGAACAAGTTCTTTAAAAATGCTTCAGGATATATCTTTCTGTGGAATCAAGTTGAACCCTAACAGTCTGCTCCTCACCGTGCTCTCCTCTGGTTGCTCAGGGTTGCCCTTGCTGGAGACAGAACTGTTGGCGTCCTCATCCTCTTCATCTGTGCTGTTGGTCTCATCATCTTCATCCCAGGAGGAGTCATCCATGGGAGCCACTTCTTCATCGACTGAGTTTCTGTTAAAAGGTCAGTATTTGGGGGTCAGAGAACAACACTGTACAGGCCCTCTGCATGCACTGAAGCAGTTGAGGGCATGCATTTAGAAAAACAAAATGACAACCATAAACACACACATTGGACTGGAACAAGTCATCCAGAAGGTATACGAAGGAGGAGAACATGTGGTTTAAAATTAAACCGATGAAACATTATCTGTCTAAAAAAACAAAGACCATCTGTGAGCAAGATAAGAAAACAAAAAAGAGAGTACCGAGTCATTTCCTTTCAAAATAAAATAAAATCAAACTACACTGAGAGTCATCATAGTCGACCCACACTGCCAACACAGAGCCAGCTGAGCAGGCAAAGCAAAGCAAAAACTGAGCATGAAACATTTTGTTGACTGAGCATTGCGGCTTTAAAACAAATACCCCTGTGAGTGGCTGAGGGGGAAATTACACCAAAGACAGAGTGCAAATCTAAAATGCCACAATTCCCTTCAGGGGCACTGTATCTGAAACATCTACACCTCCCTGAGCACAGCCGAAGGGAAAAAAGTAAGTTTAAGGCTAAGTGAAATAAGCTATACAAAGCTTACTTGACCGTGACCAATTTCTCATTGTGTGTCTTTACCACAAGAATCCAGTCACTGTAATCCTGTTTGACTAAGGATTTTGCTCAGCAACAAGCATTACTACAAAGACTAAGGGAAAAAATCAATTTCTTATAGTTTTTGCTTGACAATAAGCTATTTACAGCTATTTTTTCATTGCAATACAGTTTGAGCTTCCTATACATACATTGATTTTTACATTCATTCACATGTGTTAAAATTGTCTTATGACTGGCAGGAAGACAGCAAAACTAAACAATGCTAAGCTGAATTCAATCCGTCCTTGACAACAAAAAAAACATACGCACACACAGTAACAGAAACCTTCTTTTTGTCTGATTATCAAGGGTGCGCGTCCTCTTTGATGATGTTCAGTCATCATGAAATGTTACAAAACGGAAATAGCCTGAATAGCACTCCCATTTTTAGCCAGGAATTAAAGCAAACACTCCCATTTACATTTAAATATCTACGCATAAAGGTGCAGGTTGAATTGCAGCAAAATGCACAGACCATGAAAGCAAGAAAGAAAGATGTTGCACAATTTCACCAAATGTGAAAGTAAATCAGATTTCCATGAAGTAGAACATTAAAAATAATTGGTTTTACTTATGAGATCATCAAGACAAAAAAGATAACAAAGAAGATCAAGTCACGGGAAAAAGAAAATGCGAGAAAAATTAAGTGATGCTTCTTCTAATAGACGCTAAATAATGTTGCTTTTCCACCAGTATCAGGCTGAAATGTTCTAAAACACGTAGGAAATACTCCCATTCCGAACTGCAACTCCTCTTTTATACATTTCACAATGTGTATGTAAGGCCTTGCTAAAAAAAAATGTCTAAACTGGCTCTTTAGGAGATGATATGGGCATTGTTTTTAGAGTGCTCTTAGTTTCAGTTTGAACAGCAATAAACTATGAGATATCACCTGACCACAGATATGAGGACACTCAGTAGTAGTTACAGGTAATTCTACTGGGTAAAAGGTTGCCTAGGAACCTTCATAGTTAGTCAAAGTTTGATCTCCAGTTCATAAAGCAATGCTAGTACTCATGACACATCACTCGACAAACTTCCCAGACAAGAATGTGCAACAAAAGGCAATGTGGATCTCGGTAATCTTCCTTTGTTACTTTGATACATATGCACTCTTTGTCAACAGCTAAATATTCGCCAGATAAATTCTTTCAAGGTGCACAAGGTGTTTTACAGCATTCCGATCAGAACCCAAAGGCAGTCACTTAAGGCAGGTCACACTGATACGTGAAACTGACACAATACCTGTCGTATCCCGTTGGTGTCTGACTCTGCGCCTCCTTTTTCACCAGGGACATATAAGGCTCCTGCTCCTCATAAATGCCCTCATCATCGTACAGTGAGCTCTGCCAGGCCTGCGGGATGGAGGCCAGAGGAGACAATCCTCCCTTTCCAACGTGTATGTTCTCGTAGATTGGTATCTCGTCATAGTTCAAAATGCTTTCGTAGTAGTCATCTGGTTCATCAGAAAACACGTCCCCGTCCACACACTGCTCCACTCCAATCACCGGGCAGGACAGTTTACGCTCAACGCTGACATGCTCAGGGAGTTGGGGATATTTATCTTGTCCCTTGTGAGCACTTTGTTCATAATCATTGACAGTGGAGACTGAACTCTGGCTTCCTTTTACTTTCATCTTAGGTAACATCTTCACTGTGAGCTTCAATTCTAAAAGTTTCCGGAAAGAATTCTTCCTATGTCCGTCAGTGTGAACAAGGTCAGCAGTGGAGAAGGACTTGGATTTCTTTTTGCCGACACCGAGACGAGAGAGTTTGACGTTTCCAGGTGTTAAGAAAGCACCGGTCGATTTCTCCTTTGCAGGCAAAGGCAGCTCCCTCGTAATTTTGATCTTCGGGAAACGAGAGATTTGCTCAGACCCAAAGTCTGACTTTAATCTATGCTCGTCTATCTCCTGCTCCTTCTTCTGTACAAGTGTCACTGGGCTGCTATCGGTCTGAAGTTCCTCTGGAGCTGTCTCAACCATCCTTTTCTCTGTGATGGTAGCAAGCTGGGTTAGTGAACTGCTGGAAGGAAAGCGATGGGTGAGGTTGTTGTCAGCTCCTTCATTCTGAACTTCTTCATCTTCCCCGTCTACAGATACCTCCATTTTATAGGCACTGCTGTCCCAACCCAAATCTTCCACCAGCAGATCCTTTAGTGGTGTCTGAGAGACTGAGCCCACGGCTTTCTTGGGGTCAGACAGAAAGGGCTTTTTCCTGGGCGGAGGGGCCGGCGGGGCATTAGCTCCTCTTGCAGACAGAAAAACTGGCCGCTTGTTTTCATTATCAGGTATGCTGACAGACAGGGATGAGCCGCCCTTCCCATCTGATGGCATATTCACCCCTTTGGTGCTTACTTCCCTCGCTTCCTGAACAGCGGCCTCCTCGTTCTCCCCCTCCACCTTTTCCTGATGGGCTAGGACAGCTGTTTTGGGTTTCCGTGGAACAGGGACAGGGGTCGACTTCCTGGAAGCGGCTGGGACTGGTTTGGGTTGGGGCCCGCCGGTTCCTCGAGTGCAAAGACCACCATCTCCTCGTTCCCGTTCATGTATGTTATCAAGCATTGCCTTAACGTTTGTCTTTTCATGGAGTGCTCTGAGAGTGAGCTCCTCATGGGGAGTCTGGTGGCCAGAGGCAGGGGTGTTTTGGGGGGGTGAGTTTGCCGCTTGGCACTGAACATCACCTGCATCGCCTTGGTGGTCACTACACATGCTCCAAGATGTAGGAAGAGTCTCACCGTTTTCCTCATTCTTGCTCTTACTTGATGCTTTACAGTCTTTCACCATTTTCTCCATGTTTGTATTCCTGAGGCATGTGCAGTTCTCCTGGCTACACAAGCAAATAGGGATAATGTAATCCCATTCAGGCTTTTTGTTTGCACGCTGGATTCCATTTTGGGAGTTCAGAGGACCCACAGTCTGAGAAGTCTCTGATACTGGTGCTCGATGCCGACTTTTTAACACGTGTGGCTTGGATTCCACTGCAGCGCTGAGTTTAGAGAGGCACGGTTTGGGAGCCAGAGCTGGTTTGACACTCCTCGCTCGGCCGGGACAGAGGTGCGTAGTGCCATCTCTTCTGGTCACTGGAGGAGACAGCAACGGCCTCTGTTCCAGGGTCAGCTTTGGTTTCGGGGCCACAGGTGGCTTCTGCATAACTGAGGAGACAAAAGTAATGAAAACAATTTGAAAACTGTGGAAAGTTACAAATGAAATGCTGGAAATAACCAACAAGACCAGGGCTGTCATCTGATAGGGAAAAAAGGAAATATTCACGTGGTGTAACGCTGTTTTTCAATCAGTTTTCCAAACATTAGCCTGCTAGAAGTTCACTTTTAAATCTGCTAATCCAAACCCAGTGGGAACTTAATGTACAACTACAGTAAAGCACCTCTAGTAGGGTTTTAAATATCACATGGCTTTTGTTTGCCACGCCACACAGCAGGACACTAATCTGGCTGGTGGCCCACGTCAACAAGCAGAGGGAGAGGAGATTGAAGATGAAGAGGAGGAAGGGGATGAGGGGTGTGAACTAAAAACTGGTGCATCTGGCTGAACCAGTGTCCAAAAATCTTCAGCGGAAGGAGAAAAACATTCTGGCCCGCTGACAGAAAAGGATATTGTTTTCACCTATTTCCCTTTTCTCAGCAAGCCATGGTCCCAACAGCTGATAGCAAACACATCTTTCATTAAAAAAAAAATTGAAAATTTGAAAAAACTTTACGTTTAGTCAACTTCCTTAGTTTTATCCTGCAATTGTGCCCGTTTACGCTCCGCAATTAATGCAGGTAGTTTGTAAAGATTGTTTTTTTTCTCAAAAGATTGCACGAGAATTACATTTCATTGTTTTAGATGTGTTTTTGCAGACATATTAAAGCCCAAATGAAATAGATAAACTAATTACCGATACCGGACACGTCACGTTTGCACCTGATCCTTGCGGTGGCGACAGCTCGTTAACTCGTCTCGTCCGGGTTGTTTCCCACTTACCTGAGGCCATCCCGGCTTCTTTCACCACTTTAAAAAAATCACCGAAGCAAAATCAGCGTCCTCATGTCCGACGAGTCGAACTCAAAGAGAGTTGTCTGAGTCTAAAACCGGCGTTGCCTTCAGCCCTCGTTGGCGCAGCTCGCTGCTCCAAACAAAGTTTCCGTGAGTGGGAGCGCACCGGCCTCTGCGCCAGCTGACAGCCTGCCGCATGCAGGCAGCCAGCTTCCCTTTTCTCCTCAGCCCTGAGCCACTAGGGGTCCTCAGGGGCCACAACCTCCCTCTGGCTCTCACACCCACAGGCTGGCCAAAGCGTGACAGAAAACACTGTGACGGTTTTCTTAACAGCCCGGCTCATCATCGCCTTTTTCTTTGGAGCTTTATCATTTTTCCATCATAACACGCAGATATTAGCTTTCCACAACCCTCATCGTTTCTAATTTAACAACCATTGGCATGACTATGATGTCATAAATGTAAAGGCCAGTAGTTTTTATTGTGCAACATGTCTGATGTGGAGGAAGTAAAACTGAAGGAGGAATAATCAGCCTTTATCAGCAGTGCTCTCATCAGGCCGCCTTTGTCACTAGACCATGGTCATTGTCACTGTAAATAAAAGACTGAGAGAGAAGTGGCTTGTCCAGCCTCTGGAAGATGTAACAAAGGAACTAACCATAGAGTAGTTTGCTGCTTTTAATAAATCTCCATACATATGCCAAATAACTGTAAATGCAATAAATGCAGATGTTTCAAGTGAATGTTTACACAATATGAAATCATGAGATGATCTTTGACGATAAATGTAAATGCACTTCTTATTCTCAACATTACTGTCAGCAACAAGTTACTTAAGTGGTGTCAAGCTACTTAGTAACTGAGTGATATGTTTAGAGTCAGGCTGCCTGACAACTCAGACTCAGCTGATGCATCCTGGATACCGTGTGCAGATGTTATCACTGCATTGAGGAAATGCAGGGTTTTTTTATTTGATAATGTGTAATGATGCACTTGTTTTTTTTCAGAAAAAAACATCAATAGATCATTGTTGTCACTTATGAGTAAAATTGTGAAGTAACTAGGCCCTCAGTTGAATGCAAAATGGAGAAAAACAGAGAAAATATCATTAGGATTTCTTTAGCTGCAGGTCTCTCAAACAAAATTGAAGCACAACAAGACAACACTCCTTTTAAGTCATGGTAAAAGTGGTCAATCCTTAAAATCCTATGTTTGGAGACCTCTGTAAAATGGCGTTGGTTAAATTCTACCTTGAGTCCTGCCTGCCCCTTTCTGTGGGCTCAGCACAGGAAGAGTGACAAACTGTACAGCAATGCCTCATCTGCTAAAAATGGCTCATTTGAAATCTTGGTAGTCCTGGTCCTTTATAGAAAACCATGGTGACATTTCCTGCTTATCGTCTTGCATCTGATGACATGTGACATCTTTTTGTGTTTTCAGGAGCATTCACGTTTACACTGTGACAAACAGAAAGACAGACTGGTGAGCCATGGAAGTGAATAAGATAAAAAATATCTGATCAAATAATCAGATCAGAGTGGTTGGAGCAACAGTACCTGAACTTGTACTCCGAAGGGAGACTCACACCTAATCTGTGATCTTCTCGGCTTCTGGATATTTGCTTTAGAAGGTCCCTGGCAGAGCATTTGGCATCACTGAATATGTACCCCACAAACAGCAGCTTCCCTCGAATGTACATCTATCGCATTAACAAAAAAGCAAACAAACCCAGCAATAAAATTGACATAGAAGGTCATGGAATATCCATTTCCTCTGTCATTTATAAAAAATATGTTATTTTTATCTTGAATTCTTGCACCGCAGAGCAGATGATATCTTCCCACAAAAAAAGTATCATTAGTCATGAAGTTATTTTCAGATTTCAATGTCACAACAGTGTGTGTGTGTGTGTGTGTGTGTGTGTGTGTGTCTTCACAACTTCCTGTCCCATTTAACGGTTTCTTACCAAGAATAAGATTTCGAGAGATAAGGTATTTAAGTACTAATACTGTGATATGCCTCAGTGAGTCCAATTATTCTAGTTTCGAGGAAAGGACTAAAGGACGGATTTTCGTCTGACAGCAGAAATCGGTGGAGCAGACATCATGACTTAAATGAAAGCCCTCTGCTTTTTGATAAACAGGTGCCAATGCCTTAGTGCTTGTAGGTCTATTTCATGTTGCTCATGAGAATAAATGAATGGACGTCTTGGACAACTTGCCACATTACTACCACAGCACCACAGCTCTTTCCCTTCTCTTTTTGGCCTCAGATAAGCACTGCTGCTGCCCCCCAGTGGGGGTCAGCAGGACATGCAGTGAGCCCGGCCTGCAGCCGGGTCTGCAGTGGGGGGGGACTGACCAGGACCATCCCAGGGGCAGCGTTGTGTCGCTGCTGCAGCAGCCCGCTCTCCAGCCCGGGGACGGCTTTCCCCGCCCACATCTCGTACCTCAGCAGCCGAAACGAGTCCGTCTGACACTGGACACACAAAAGTAACCCGTCACTGAGTTTTTTGGCATGGTTTCACCTTGCCGTCCAGCTGTTGTTGTCCAGCCAATGCAACACAGCTGTGATCAATACAAAACGTGCATTGGCATCAATACAATTCCTGACTGAATATTAATGACATGAATGTACAAATGGATAATGGTGCATGCATGGCTGGCTAATTTACAAGGCTTTAATAGGTATGTACACGACGTATATGTATGTAAGTATTGATATGCAGCTACATTACAAAAAACAGAAATAAGGCGATTAAATGTGGTTTTTTCACACCTGAGTGCAGGGCATTGTTCTGTGTTTGTTCCTCTTTCTGTAAAGATCCTCCAGTGCTTTCTGACTCTGGACTGCGTGTGTGTTGCTGGTGTTGCCCTGCACTGCTACACACACCACCAGGATCTGTTGACTGTGTGGAGGCTGGCCCTTAATGAGGGCATCGTACTCCAGGTCTGTGACTGCTGGCATCAGTGTGGCGCTGCAGCAGCATCTCCTGCGCCGCCCCTCCCCCTGCAGGGCGGCTCTCAGCAGAGCGGGGCACACTGTGAGCGGGACGGAGGAGGCAAACGGTGCCACGATTTCCGGACTGTGAGTGGCAGCAGACGACTCAGACTTGGCGCTACCCCGGAGGATCACCGACCTGGGTTATTAAAAACATTCTCACAGTGAACAAAAGTGCACTAAAACTCCTCTTTTTGTATCCATACTATCACTTTTTAACTTCTTCTTGTGTCTTTCGGTGATGCCAGGGGCTCTTACTCAGGTTTGATGTTGCCGTGGATTTGAAGGGGTCCTATCCGCACAACAGGATGTTTCACGCTGGCTCGCTTTTTAGGTGTCCTGAAAACAGAGATGTTGAGACTTTCAATTTTCCTATAGTGTTCCTTAAGTAAAGCAGCATACTGAACACGCGGTCCAAGGAGAACAATAGTCAAAGCACCTGAAATTGGTCAATAAGCAGATTTCAAGTGTACTCTTTGCATTTCATACAAAGGACAATTGGAAAAACTGAATGACACAGAAAGTGTGGGCAGTAAAAAAAAAAAAAAGCTCTTTATAAGCAATGCTATCAGAGCAGGTTATACATTAGTCCATTCCTGCCTGCTAAGTGCTCATAATTAGCTGATGCTACAAACTCCACCGCGTAAGGTTTGTGATATGCTGACACCACAAAACGGCACATCTGTGACTTCCATCACAGGTAAATTCTCTTTGACTTGCGATGAAAGAAAAACTCCCCAGTGATGAGGCATGACTGTCCTCTCCTTTGTGTCGGTGAGCACCTGGGCAGCTGGACGGGGCAGTTCAGAGGCCTTTCCTCTGAGGCTGAGAGCTGTCCGTGAACCTCCTGAAATCCATCTCTCCTGCCCTGCTCCGGCCCGGCCGGCTTAGCGCCGCCCGCGCGTTCAGGCGGGTTCAGAGAGGGCAGAGCCTCTCTCCTGTGCCGGGTTCTCATTAAGGCCTCCGGCATCCGCTCCGTGTCAGGACACTTGATACCTGAAGGAGAGGTGGAGGTCACACAAAAATGCACACCGATACTAATTGACACAAGTGACCGTGAACAAGATCCACACGGAACTATTCGATAATGTCGAGTTTGCAATGCGAGAGGTCCCTCGAGCCATATTTCAAACTTCTCTCTCTCGCACCACCATGGTCTCACACATACAGTATACCAACATCAAGCTTTAGTTTTCATTCTTGTTCTGTAACAGAACAAAGCAGGATTGCAACCTTACGTAAACCAACCATATAAAACGGCTAAATACAGTCATGATTGGGTTTCGTCACCCTGCAGGGAAATAAATAAAAACCATTAACTGGTGAGTTGGAGAATGCTGACAATACTTCATGCGCATCATAAAAGCATTAAAGGGGGAAAACGAATAAAAGCATATGTGGAAAAATGTTCACACATTACTGCATAAAAATTCACCTATAAACAAAGATGATGATGTCAGATGTATATCAACAACATGATAATCAAGCGGTATTTTTCATACATTTCTTTTTTAGACCATGCATGGCATTTATTATGTTTTCCGCAGCGTATGGGTTTATATTGCGCCACCTTTGTGTCCCTCGGGGAATGTCAGTGTTAGTAGTGTCCTGCTACCTACCTTCTTGTAACTCACATCATCAAAAAAGAAAACACAATAAAATGCACCAGAAGGAGTGAGCAACAAGTACCTCTGAGGCCACAGAAGCCTGGCTGTGGAAGCAGGTCGCTGGTCGTGGTGTATCTGTACTGTCAGTCGTGCTAAAGGCTCTGGTCAGGTTTATCCTTGCATGATTGCCTCTACTGTTTCTGTTTTTTTATATACAAACTGTGGTAGTGGGTTAGTTTTGTGGCTTAATGGTTGGCTTTAACTTTTACCATTTCAAAAGGTAAATTTTAGGTCCGGTATTAAAAGTCACAAAGATACACCAGAGTTATAAAGTTAGTAGTAAGAATAATTTTAAAACTACTCAGAAAATATAAAGACCTGGCATTTAACATGTCTTCAAACTGTCTTATTAAGCTGTTTTTAGTCATCCTTTAAGCCTTAAGGAAAGATATTGGTTTTAAAGTTTATAAAAACTACTGAACTTTAACAGTTTCACTTAGCCCACTTTTTTAAATTAAAGCTCACAGTTTACCCCATCGATTTAAATACACAAGACTCCTGGTGCCAAATTTAAAATTTACTTAAACAATTCTGATCTCTTTTGCTTTCTATTTTATCTTTAATGCTGAAGGAAGAAATTAATTTATCAGAATTTAGTTGTGTTTGTGAGACACTTCACTCATATGGTAAGATGAGGTGATGCTGAAACTTTATCAGTTTGCTACTCCACACGGAATGATTAGCCGAGTTTTTCTTGAGCTGTATTTACATTTTTGCTCACATAATCAATATAATCACAGACTGGAAGGGTGCGCAAGTACCAACTGCAGAACGATAGTAGTCCAACCAGTCCTCCACGGTGTTTCGAACCCTCTGCTGGAGCTTTCTGAGCTCCCTGCCACCGTGCTCTCGTTTTCTCCACAACGCTGAATCCTCTTCGAATCCTTCCACCTCTCTGGGTAGCTGGACAAACCCCTGACACCAAACAAGCACCTGTCTGTTATTATAATTATGCAAGGGATGGATCACATTATAGAAATAAGGCATCTAGCAAGCTGTGATGAAAAAAGGACTTATTTTAGGAATATGAAGAAGCTTTACAAGCCCTGGGGAAATTAAAAGTATTGATGCAGCAGTGACCACTCATTTAAACACTAACAGTAGTTTTAGTGGACCTGCCACTCTTTTGATATTGACATACTTTCATTCCATCCGTTTGTTCACAAGCCCCCCTCCACATAGTTCTTACAGGTTTTATCTTTTGGTTCCTTTCGCTCTCTGTGACCCTTGGAGAGCATTTTGTCTTCTGGTGCTGGAGGTGTTGACCAACATCAGAGATAAACCTTCCCTCCATCTGAAAATAAGTCTGCATCAGACAAATCCCTAATCGATATATTATTTCTTAGTTAATCAAATCCATCGTTCTAATCTCACCACTTTCTTTGAGTAGTCCGTATTAGGCTGTGAAGAAAGGGGAAGTTGAACACTTTCGTTGCCACATCTGAAGCTGAGCACACCGGACACCCCACTGAAGAGCCTCACGGATATCAGATCCGACAACTTTAGGAGACAAAAAGAAATGTACTGATCTTTTTTTTTTAAAGAAAACACTACCAAATAGTGGTGTCAGTTGTAGTGAATAAATCACTCCTTTGTGCCTGACATTCCCCAGCAGCTATGATGAAAAGCTAATCTCTTTGTCTTGTCACAGCCAATCAGTGTCAATATGCCATTTTGTTTTACATCATTCTCTGTTGTACCTACATGTGACAAATTCAATATGCAAAAACAGTCCAAACTGTTGGTATTTTGACAGTTGCACATTTCCCCCGGGCTTTTCATCCAATCTACATCATATCTTAGATTTACATGACATTATACAGGCGGCAGTGCTTTAACACTTAAAGTCTGAACTGCGGAGAAGTGTAATTTGTTTAATTTGTCACTAATCAAGAGATTTGATTACCAAAACCCTGTTAATGGCACAAAGAAATATTGGAAAAATACTAAAAGACAGACTGAAAAGTTGTAGCACAGTATGAATCGTACATACCTTTACTACAATCTTATCCTTCAGTGTGCCAGCAGTCTGCCAGTTCCACTCCTTAGTTATGTTTCCATCATCATCATATAGAAATCCACCATTCTGATCCCAAACTGCTGTGATTGCAGAGCTACATGGACAGACAGAGAACAAATAATATCATAGGTCGTCACACATTTATATGATTCAAGCACTTATTCATACAAACAGAAGGATTTATGAGTTTGAAGGAATATCTCTTTATGCTTCCATGGTAAGGACATTAATAAGCCTGAGTCTAAAGAGACTGATTTATCTTCAGGGGTAGTGGAAATTGAAGAGTCAAGGCCAGAGAAGTCATGCCAGCACAGGCTCAGCTCTGAACCCTGATCCTGAGATTATCTGACTTATTTTTTTTCCCAATCTTCAAAAAGGCCTGAAGAGCCACATGAGAAATCGTTGAGTTTGATTCACTGCGTATTGAGTGCTTCTGCCCCTGAAGAGCAAACTAGCTGTCGGGTGTAGAATTAGCACAAACGCGTATTTGCTCAAGCAAGATTAAGTGAACTCACCGATAAGGGTGTGAAACTGCCCCGTGCCCGGATGCGGTGATGGTAGCCAGAGTGAGAGGACGCTTGCCTTCACTGAACACGTTGGTGTAGAATCCTCCGGAGGGAAGACCTGAGCGACTCTGGCACACCGCCACGCCACCTGACCGGTAGCTGAGAGGACACGGTCAAGGCTCAAGTGCTCAGCTGCTGTGGCACCTTTCACACAAACCTTGTACTGCATTCACTTCTTGGATGACCACTTAAATCAAAACAGCTTCAGACGTGGTAAGACAAGGATACTAAATGAACGAGGAGCCATCATCGATCCGGTAGTGCAGTTTCTGCCGGACAGAATCCTGCAGCTTTATCTCCGGTATATGTGGCATGCCGTTAACTAAAGCGGCCGGCTGGACCTTACTCCCTTCCCTTTTGGTTTTAGTCTTTGCATCACCATAGTGACGAATCACGACAGGTTTGCTCCGATCCTGCTCAGATGTTTTCAGCTTTCTAAGAAAGGATAAAGTCCTTATTAAAGTGAATCTGTCTAAAAATGCATTCATCACTGGGATAGTTTTAATTGCAGAAGTCATTTCAGTCAAAACCACATGTGTCTCTGTCTTCCATTTATGGATTTGTTTTAGAATTGTTCTCCCAATCCAAGATTAGATGTTAACAGTTCGGTCTGAGTTGAGCCTGAATTGAGAAAATAGTCCTTGAAGGAATCTGAAAATGGGGTGTAAAATTTGGAAACACGACCTGTCACTTGACCCATAATTGCCATAACTGTAGAAACAGAGGTTAACAACACACTCAGGATGTCTTGCTGCCTGCAGCCGCTCCACCGCCCACTGACACGCGCTGATCCATTGAGGCTCGTCGTAGGAGGGCTGCTTCGGCCGAATAATCCAGCCTGGACACAAATCACATCCAGCTGAGGCAGCAGAAGCTCAGCATTGAGCGAGTCATTAACACAACGCAGCGGGTCATACCTGGATCTGCACAGCTGCTGCCTGAGATGGAAAAGCTGGCTGTCGTGGCGCTTTGAGCTACTGAGAGAGGAAGTCACATCATGTCTTGCATATGTTTTTATGTTTGTTTGGGGGGTTTTTTTGGTATTACATTAGCGGGAATAGCGTCTGAGAGTAAGTCAATGAACCTAACAGTGTAACTCAATATCCCCGTCATCCATTAACAGAGTTGTGCCTCCGTGGTCCACTACCATATCCGACTTGGTAAACCAATACTCTCATGTCTCACTTCCACTACTGCACTACCCTCTGAGAATACAACAACATTCTCCACATTGCAAATTGCCTGTGTGGTAAGGTTGGTTTTAAGCTTATAGACTCCAGAAAATGCATATGTCATTTTAGTATAGAGCTTGTGAAAATACCTTCATTTGGCATGACTTTAGTTTTTCTTATTCTATTAGCATTTGCTACCGGATAGATCTTTGTGCAAAAAATACTTCTTATAAATGACTTGGAAACATAAAATTAAACACCTCACAAGTCCTAATGTGTCCTAAAACTCGTACCTCTTGTTCATTATGACAGTTAGACTCAATACCTATTTAGATATGGTTTTGTAATTAGTTTTTTTTTTTAATAAAACCATCTACTAAAGGTGCAAAAATGAATAATTAAACAAAAGTTAATTGGGCAAAGCATCTATAGACTCAAGACAATTTATCTTTAATCGATGGTGCAAAACCTTTCCTTTTTAATGAACAATTATTCCTACACTAAAATAGGGAAAGTTAATTACTCACAGTGAAAAATAAATATTGTTGTTTTTTAAATATAAAATAACATAAAAATGGGAGAAACAAACCCAATTAAAGTTTGTTCATAGAAATATAACAGGCAAATCATGCTAATTTGATATGCCAAATAATAATTAAATTTTTTCTTTTACTAAGGTTTGTTGCATTGCTCGGTCAAACTGTATCCTTGTTGGTTACTATTTTCCTTCCTGGTGAAGGTGCAAACATTCAAGACTCCCATTAAAGAGATTACCTGAGTGTGCAAAGGATTCACGGAGGCTAGCTTAAAGCTTTAAGTTGTTGTGTTGTTTTATCAGGAAAAAAAGTGATACAGGTTAAGATGCCTCAACCAACTTGTAGTTTAGATAAGCTATCATGTTAATGTTTTATGAAGGTCTCAGAATGATATAAACGACTGAGGCAACGGCAGAGCAATCACCCCTGTGCTTTGTCAGCTCAAATGACTGTTAGTTAAATTGGCTTTAAGGAGAGAATAAAAAAGGGTGCTGAAGGGCAAGGCCCACTTCTCTACAGTTGCCAGGTTAGAATGTGAAACAACTTACTCAGATGTTTAGGAGGCTCAAAACACCCAAACTAAGAAAGATGCAAATGAACTAAAAACTGTTGAGATGTGATTGTTTCCTGACACCAGCTTTGTATGTGGATGTAAAAACTGTTTAACAGTCTATTTCACTTTTCAGTATGGTCAACTTTATTCTATTTCCTTTAGTGATGATTTTGGCTCTAACTTGGGTTATTTTGCGACTCTCTGTGGTTTTCCTATGCATCGCTGCATTCACGTATTTACTTTGTTTCTCTCTTTACAGTCATGCTGCATTGGGTCGCTTCATATATGCATCGTTTTCCCCTTTTGATTTAAGATAAAGCAGTTTATGACTATAGGTCTGTTTACACCACGATTTCAATGCACTACAGTTAAAAATTGGCTACATAGCAGTATTCCACAATTAATCTTTTTTACATTTACTACGAGACTGTCGGTATGCACCTGTAACAGCAGATTTGTAGGCCTAGCTGCTCTTAAAAGTCAGTTGTGTTTTCATTACAGGACATTTAGTCTCACTCATATAACGTTATCAATGACAAATTATGAAAAAGCCTAATAAAGACCTCTTTAACTCTCCCTGTAAGTTTTTCCTAATATAAAGGGAGGAATATAAAAGGAAGAATAAAGGATCTCAAAGAGTCATGGCTTTACCTGGAGTGGAGTTTTGGTCTGTGGGCTCTTTCACTGGTGCATTTGACCTAACCCGGGCTTTTCTCTCAGACCTGCCAACATTTCCCTCAGTACACTGGTCCCTTTCTCTTTTTTCCAACTTGGCAGTGGAAGACAACGTTGGGGAAGTATTCTTTGGCTTCAGGCAACCTTTGGACTTCGATCGTTTTTCTTTCTCTGTGGGACTTTTCAAGTGTATGGATGCCCCTGCAGTCAGGTCGTCCCATGAGTAATTCAGAATATTATTAATCCCGCGAGGAATGCAGCCCTTTTCTGACCACAGATGCTGTGAGAGAAGACGAGCTAAGTCGCAGAGTAACTGAGGAGCAGCTCGCTTGTAGACATCCATGGGATCTCTGTCCTGGAAAGCATCGGATGGTGAGGTTTCTGGTTCATCATCTTCAGATGGTTCATCTGTGGGGTTCTGTGTCTGGAACTCAGGGCTTTCATCATTTTGTTCCCCACCTTGATCACTGAGAATATCAGAAATGGTTTCAGACACGTGAAAAAAACATAATAACAAATAAAAAAGGAAGTTGAATACCTCTGTGTAGCTTCACAATGTGCTACTGCACTGGTCACATGAAAATATGACAAGTAGCTACTGGGCCCTTTAATTCGGTGTCGTTTTGGCTACAAAAAGGTAAACAGACAATACGTTTCGTTTCTTTTATTCTTCAAAACTATCATCGGAAAAAAGTGAGAGTAACCCACCTGGTCAAAGAAATACAAGGGCCCCCCACAGATGGCTGTACGTGCACCAGCAGAAGCCATCATCACCTGTAGAGATAAAAAATAAAATATATCTGCATGGTTTTGTCATACCCACTAAAACACATTGCAGTAAACGTATGGAAACAAAGCAAAACATCCACCTTTCACTTTTTCCTCCCAGCCTTTTGCCTATCAAGGCGCTCGGGCTGTTGCTAGGATACACACCTATACGCCCGTCTCCAAATATTCTCGTTACGCATCAGAAGTTGTAATGAATTAGGAGCATCGCATTTAAAGTCAAAGCACAAACACCCCAAAAAAAAGATACTCACATGTGGGCTCTCTAAAGTTAGCAAACGTGGGCTCAGGGAAGAAGTGACCGTTGAGGGGGGGGGGGGGGCAGCAGCAGCCAGGTGTCCAGGTAACACGAAACCCGGCTCCTTCATGCGCGGAGAAAGTGATGAGTCCAACGAGCATTGCAACTTTTACAGGATACACGTCAGGGCCCAAACATTTGAGAAGTGTGTTGCTGCCAATCTTATTACAGTTCGAGCCAAAGTGTCATAGCCTAGACGAAAATAAAATGAAAAAAAAAGTCTCTACTCCTGATCGTGGGGGAGCATCCTCCTCCTCTATTCGGGACGAGCTGTTGCGAGAGAGAGATGGTGTTTAGCTCATTATTGGCTCATCTGCCTCCAGCACATTTTACAGCTTTGACCACTGGAGGCTCCCAGCAGCTTATGCGTCACTTCATCTCTCAGTCTCCGATCATGGCGGAGCCACAGCCACAGGGTGAAGTGGAGCCTCAACTTCTTAATGGGGACGACTTGAACGAGGAGAGGGAAGACGTGGACGCTTCAGAATCAGTCAGGAGGAAGAGAAGAAAGAAGAAGCGGAACAAGACCCCGGCGGCAGGTGAGAGGCATCACACTTTGTTTCGAGAATCCTTGAGAAAATAGCGCAGAATTTCCCCCCTTTTATTCCCACTCCACGTCGAGTCCCGAGGATCGAAAAAATGCGGGACAGGAGACTGGAACCTGTCAGAGGTTATTCCGGTGTGAGCAGCTGTCCCAACTCTGAGCGGAGGCTGCTGGAGCTCATCTGGAAACGGGACGTTTTTGGAGTCGTGTAGTTTAAATGTCAAAACTGATCAAAATGCTGTCATTTTTAGAAAAAAAAACATTAAAGAAGATAGAATTCATTTGAGTTTCCCTCCAGATTAAACATGTCCTGTCTTATAAATCTCTCTAAGCTGCGTGTAATTATGTAATAGGATATCAACAGTTCTAGTGCAGAAAGATTTATCACAAGCCTTTCCAAAATTCATGTTGATCATTTCTACATGACTGTTTAATGATGCAGAAATACAAAATCTCTGAATGACTGAGTTGTTTTGTAACATGCAGTCAAGCATGGCCCACACTGCATTGTATTTGATGAGCTAAATGTCATAATGCTGCAAGGTATATATGCCCTTGAGGATATTGACTCGTATGGTATGGAACAGAAATTATTCACCGGCCCTGCCAAGTTCAGATCCTAGTGCAGGCACTTTCTTAAAATGACTCTCAAGCACAAATAATAACTCTGCCCGTGTGTGTGTGTGTGTATGTGTGTGTGTGTGTGTGTGTGTCACAAACATGTTCACCGGCACATGCGTGCACAGCAGTGTGTGACTTTGCAGCAGGGACAAATGAGGCTGAAGGGGACGGAGCGCAGGCCAGAGGTGTTGGCGATGTGACTAAACAGCTGGAGCTGCAAACACTTGAAGAGAAGGAGAGGACGGAGGATGCAGATGAAGGTATCTCCCCCATTAATCCCGCTCTCCCCCCTGTAGCCAGCGTCTCCACCTGCAGCGCTGAGAGTGTCGGGACTCAGAGTGCTGAAAAGAAAAAAAAAGTGGCGAGTGAATTTCAGCAGGTCACATCTGCAGTGAGATATCTGATTTTTTCAGCGGGGCCCTGGGAATCGTGCCCGAGCCCCTGTCGATATTTCTCACTCCACAAACTGTACTGAAACTAATGATGCTTTCAACAGATGGGGACGAGGGAGAGAACTCGGCTGGGAAAAAGAAGAGGAAGAAGAAGAAGAAGAAGGGCCGTGAGTTGTTGTCTCGTGGTGAAAAAAAGAACACCAAAAAGAAATAGTCTAATAAATATGTCAGCAGGCTTGACTGTGAGATTTTTAACAAAGTAAATCTGGATGCTGAGTTGGACTCAGTTGACTCGTGCCACAATGCAGAACTAATGTGGAACTTCAGAATGCGAGTACAGGTCATGAAGAGAGGCTGATTTATTGACAGCACATTTAACAAAACAATCAAGCAGTGGCTGGTCATCTAACTTCCAAGTAGGAATGATGAAATGTCCTGTCTGTAGGTTCAAATATTAGCGTCATGAACACAGCAAGGATAACAAGTGTCTTCTCTTTTTCTGCTGCTTTCCTCTGCTTCTCCTTTTTCTCTATCTGGGCCACAGTGAAGGGACAAACTGACCCTCCCTCAGTCCCGATTTGTGAGCTCTATCCCAACGGAGACTTTCCAAAGGGAGAAGAGTGCGAGTATCCCCCATCAAAAGACGGGTGTGTGACCTCCACTCTTCTATTCTGCCTAGTTCCTATGTAGGCCCCTCCACTTTGCGAATGCACACGGGGCAAATAAGAACATGATGAGGTTTCATTTCCTGTTTAAGCATGCACTAAATTCATTCATCAGTCCACTCAAACGGAGCCTTGATTTATGGCACAAACCCCTTTAATGTGGAGGAAAATGTGCGAGATAGTATTGAGTACCTGGTCTTTGTGGTGTGACCCTTGCCCCCCCCGGACCCCGCAGGCGCAGTGCAGCGTGGCGGGTCAGCAGCGAGGAGAAGCGGGCGCTGGACAGGGCTAATGAGGAGATGTGGAGTGATTTCAGGCAGGCGGCCGAGGCTCACCGGCAGGTCCGCTCCTACGTCAGGAGCTGGATCCAACCCGGGATGACAATGATTGACATCTGGTGAGAAACAAACAGACACGCTTTCTTTGAGCATTACGTCCTTTTAGTGTGCGTTCAATCTTAAATGAATCATATGTTCTCAGTACTTTTTTTTATTGTTTCTTACAAGAAGGTTTTTTTTTTCTTCCCAAGGTCACGGTAAGCGTAAGCCTGTGTAGAGTTTACCGCTTTATCTGCGTGTTTAATCCAACTGTATGCCAGTAGAATTGCCGTCCTTATCCATGGTGCTGCTTGCTTGTTTTGTGGCAGTGAAAGACTGGAGGACTGCTCCAGGAAGCTCATCAAGGAAAACGGGCTCAGGGCAGGCTTGGCCTTCCCCACCGGCTGCTCCATCAACCACTGTGCTGCCCACTACACTCCAAACGCAGGAGACCCCACCATGCTGCGCCACGACGACGTCTGCAAAATTGACTTTGGAACACACATCAACGGTGAGAAACCGGCCAGCGTCTAAAGATGTAAACTCATGGCTAATGTGTATGCGTAACCCAGCTCTTTGGCTTTTCAGGTCGAATAATAGATTGTGCCTTCACCGTCACTTTTAATCCAAAGTTTGACAGGCTGTTGGAGGCTGTGAGAGATGCAACCAACACTGGCATCAGGGTAACGGCATTTTTTCCCCTAAATTGTTGGCACAGTTTAGTATGGCGATAAAATATAACTCAGAGGTGCAAGGCTGTTGATCCACGTCCCGTCAGTCCTGCTTAGTAAAGCACTTAACTCAAGGGATGAAACATGTCCCGACACCTGACATAAATTGTAAATTGGAAGTGACATTTTAAATCATCCATACTTGTCATCTAACTTTCCGCCAGTGTTATTTTTTTCTTTTCTGTTATTGGTCAACATAAACTTGAAATCAATTTCAACACATCTCTCCATACTGGATGTTTAAAGTTTTTTGTATTGTCGAGTTCAATATATAAGCTGTGTTTAAAAATGAATATATCAGGAGGTAGTTTCGTGCTGTTTTGATCGCAAAAGTGATCATGAATGAATAATGGTTATCTACTGTCCACTCTGCTCCAGTTTGCTGGAATTGACGTGCGCCTGTGCGATGTTGGCGAGACAATTCAGGAGGTCATGGAATCTTACGAAGTGGAGATAGATGGGAAAACGTATCAAGGTAAAATGAGGTCATTAGGTCACCTTTTATTCATCCGAAGCCTCTGTAATGCATCACCCTCTTTGTGGTGTTCTCTTTGCAGTGAAGCCAATCAGGAATCTCAATGGCCACTCAATTGGACAGTACAGGATACACTCAGGGAAGACGGTCCCTATTGTGAAAGGTGGAGAGGCCACCAGGATGGAGGTTTGTCCTCAGAACAATTTTCCTCAAATATCTTTTCATAAGGCTGCAGGGCACAAAATAACGCTGCAGCCTCTTTTCTCTGGAACGTTTGAAATCAACCCTACTTTTTCTGTTTGACCTTGGGTATAAATAAATGATTTTAATTCTTAAGTGTAATTGGAAGAACATTCGGCTTGGTTGGGTTACAACGGGGTGTGGAGAAGTGTTTCAATTCTCTGCTCTAACAGCTTCTTAGTCACGCTCTTCAGCATTTTAATTACACCTTTAATGGAATTACGAGCCGCATCCAGAAGCAACACGTGTTAAAACCTCGAGCGTGAGCAGTGCATTGTGGGGAGAATTCACATCGAAAAAGAGGTCCTCCGATTACTAAACCACACTCGGGTCCCTCGCACCTGCACAGCTGCTGAACACGGCTGTATTTGAACGGGAGCAAACAATTTAATTGGCAAGTTGCTGCGTCGGGCCTTTTACCTGATGGTCGCAGGAGAGAGGGGGGAAGCGGAGGCTGCTGAGGTTGCATCTTTGCACATTGTTCTTTTAGCTGAAGTGTGTTGGTGTAACAGAGCCATTACCCTCTCTGTGATCGGGGAGCGTGCACTGGAGTGGCAGCTGGGCGTGCCACGGGGCTGCTAGCACTTTGACTGATTATCGGCGCGGAGAGAGAGGGCGTCGCAGTGTTATCAGCTAATTCCACGGGGGCTCCATCAACAGCCACATGCTGATAGAGACACAGAATGACTGTGAAAGCTCGCCAATCAGCTCCAGAAAAGGATACCGTTGTCCTTAATTAGCCACACATGAGTGAGCCAGTGGCTGACAGCTGAAGAGGTTTTTGTTTTTGTTTTTGTTCCTCCCTTCACCACCTTCACTGCCCTTCCAGAAACATCCTGACCACTCAGTCCGGCCCAGCTAAAAGCTTTCATGGAAATTCTCCATTTGTTGTCAGCAGACTGATAATTGATTGTCTTTTTTGTTGCGTCTCAGGAAGGTGAAGCTTACGCCATCGAGACATTTGGCAGCACCGGGAGAGGCGCGGTCCACGACGACATGGAGTGCTCACATTACATGAAGAACTTCAATGTTGGACATGTGCCCATAAGGTTTACGCGCTTCATCTGATTTTTTTTTTTTTTCATCCGATGTCTTTTGCTCAACTGTAAATGACTCGTCCCGAGTTTAATCCCGAGGTCAATCTGTGATCAGTTAACTTCCAGTGCAGGTTATTTAGATCTGCCAGAGTCGTTTCAGTTTGTGTCCTTTACTCCATTACTTCTGCTTACAGGCTTCCGAGAGCTAAACATCTGCTGAACGTGATCAACGAGAACTTTGGCACGTTGGCGTTCTGCCGCCGCTGGCTGGACCGCCTGGGCGAGAGCAAGTACCTGATGGCGCTGAAGAACCTGTGTGACCTCGGCATCATAGACCCGTACCCGCCTCTCTGCGACATCAAGGGCAGCTACACCGCCCAGTACGAGCACACCATCCTACTCAGGCCAACCTACAAGGAGGTGGTGAGCCGCGGAGACGATTACTGAGCACGCGCCAAAAGGAATTTGGGGCAAATCAGGTGGCATGACAGCTCAATGACAACAAAACTCGTCAAGCTGACAGCGATTATGCAACTTCTTTCTCTGACCGAAATTTCCACCGCTCGAGTACCTTTTAGCAGAAACAGATGACTTCTGTCACAGCTTACCAGTAATCATTTATTTATGTTTTCTCCGAAGGGTCACTTCAGGAGGAAATGGATATATCTTCAAGAAATGTAGTGTTGTCAGTTTAGTTATACTTTAACGGGCTGCTTTTAGGGAATATTAAAGACATATATGCAAAAAATTAATTAGTAGTAATAATGATGCAAAAAGTTGAGGGGAACACCTGTCTTCCACATGCTATGCTTTAATGCCATTTTAAGAGGAAATTGCCTGCTATGAAATATTTATATTTCTATGTTGTGTTGCTTTATTTTAATTTCGAGTCAGTTTTATAAGAAATAAATTGTTATAAATCTTGACTTGAGTGTTGTGTTCCTATGTATATGCTGTAGCGTGTGAAGCCCTTGAAAGTGCAAAAGTCCTCCCAATAGTCATTATTTACTGATGAAAATGGTCCAGGGAAACATATTTATGACTTGTGAAAGTGCTTGAAGTGCTTGGATTAACAGTACATTTGAAGGTTAAATCAGATTAAAGTGTTTTCATTTATTTGTGGGATGATTATCACACATGAATAGGCAAAGATCAAAGTCTGGTGTTAAAAGGATGTTTGAGGAAGTGCATCTCTGGATGAGCAAGACATAAGAATGAGTTGGTGATGACTCATCGTGTTGAAAAAACGGGATCATTTAAATAAGCAGAACACTGAAAACAGCAGTATGTAAAACAGGCCTGCAGAGAGGAATTCACAAAAACAACATTTCTGCCTTTAATTAGTTTGATAAAGATCAAGTGGGCAAGAAAGAGGGCCGATTAAAAAATGCCTTCTAACCATATTAGACTGAAAAATGTTTTTTCTAATCAGATAGAATAATAAGTGTGAAGTTTGGAGGGAAAAACTGTATTCCAGCATGAGCATTTTGCTTCATACGTAACAGAGGTTGAACCATCCCTGGGGCCAGGTGTGCTGCATATGGGCTTTGAAAGCTTCCCTTCATTGATGAAGCAAAGAATTCCGATACAACTAAGCAAATTCCCAAATAAAAACTGAAAAGGAAAATAAAGTTTTAGTGTCAATGGCTTTTGCTGGTGTAGCATTAAAATTATGTCCCTGCCTGTCACTAATTTTTTTTAAATTTTAATGAAATGTAATCAACAGTTTGAAATAACTAAAAGGTTAGATTAATGTGCACAGTCTGCTGTCATGTAGAACGATTCATTTTAGGATTTATATCTTATGCTAGTCGTTTATCCTACTGTGATCACTATTGAATGTGTGAGATGGTACACTTTCACGCACATTTAAGTGTTTTTCTCTCTTTTAACCAAAGGAGGGCGGTAATCAAACATGAGTCAAATATTAGACAGGCTTCACCCCATGTGAGGACATTGCTGGGAGTCACATCCTGCTGTTCACTGCATTTTGCTTCAGCATGACATGGACATAGAATTAAATACACGCTTCCCAGAAATATTAAGCCTGAGAATATCAGTGTGTATCTGCTATGTGCAGCTTACAATAAAAAGGACGTATAAAAATAGCCTTTAACATCACACTGGGTACACGTGCTTTACACAAAATGACCAACTTAACCTTTAAAAGGAAATTTCCAGCCCATTTTCTTTTATTTTGCCAAAGTCTTTGGGACAAGGACATGGGGGGGGGGGGGGGTGATGTCATTACTGAGGAATGCATCATGTCTCCTCGCACTGTTTGTCCCTCTCCTGGGAGACAGCAGTTCAGGCCTATTCTTAACTGGGCCAGATTAAAAAATGGTCTGTGCACTCTGGATGTGATACACGCTGATGTCAATTAGCCCCCGGTCTTTAAATACATGCTTATTTTTGGGGCTGCAGGAGTCACAGGCCTAAAAGAGGAACATGTGTTAAGGCAGCATCCACTCACTTCCTCAGAAACATGCCCGGGCTCTGGTAGAACTGGGTTCAGAGGGGGGGCCCCTCCGGTCAGAGAGTGGGAGCAGGTCTTTCGAGGACAGCAAATGCCCCCACGGTCCGAGCATTCGAAACGTTTCCTTTCTTGCAACTGAACTGGATATTAGGGTTAGTGAGACACTTAACCCCAAGTGTTTAAGTCAGCAGAATGTGCTGCAAGCCAGAAAGGGTGGAGCAGGCAGGGTTCTGCCCTCTTCAGACGGTAGGTGGGCGAGTGCACCGGAGCGAAACAGAGCCCTTCAGATTAGGCCGCCTTATTCCTTTAGTGTGTTTTTCCTGCTGTCTCCTCAGTCAGAGTTACCTGTTCTGACCTGCAAACCTCGCAAAAGACATCAAATATGTCAAATACATGTTTGTGATGTCCACACACTGATACACAGACATTTTCCTGTTGATTCATCTGTTATTTAAAACCGCATGAAGAGTTCAGTCTATAGTTCTCCGACACAGCAGGGCATAGCTCTGAAGCTGCTATGAACATTGAGCCGATTAACTGTGCATCATAGGAATAAAATTACATCATCGTTTGGATGAAGGTCTTTACGGCTCCTTTTGGTCCCTTTCATCCAGTGGTAACTAGGGTCTGACAGGATTTCTGATTCAGTCCAGAGACTTCTGTCTCACATTTAGCCACCAAAACATAAATAGCACAAAGAGTCTTTCTGATAATGTTTCGACCACCTTTTCGTTCTCCAGCACGTCATCTGCATGGAGTCCGGTCAGTGTTTACCAGCGGCCGCAGTCTTTTCTGAGGATGTGAAAGATTTTGCGACCAAGGCTTGATTTCCACGGTTTCACAAAGCTTTTGGCGTTGATCAGAAGCCGGCCAGTCCTCCAGTCCTCGTGACCCGCAACTACGTACTCTGATCCTGGAGAGAAGAAGAAGAAAAACCCATTACAGTTTTTCACTGTGACTGAAGTCTACACAGCAGAAAATTCAGTGTGACAAGAAACCAGTCAGAACTATTTCCACTCAGGCTGAGTTGAGCCAAAGCTGAAAGAAGTTATTATTCTGTGAAGTTATATCTGAGAAAGTCTTGTAACAGACAACTGACTCTAAGATTTGCAGTTGTAAAGACTCAGCTCTAGTGAGGGATGCCGGGGTGCTGGCACCAGCTCAAGGCTTCAGAGAACTGCCACGGGGATTCTCTACTCAGCACAAATCTGTCAGACAGTTCACTCAGGAGTTGACTAATTACACACTTTGACATCGTGAGCGCTTCTCATTTGAGGTTATATTGAAGCTGACCTGGGTTGAGGATGGGACAGGTGCAGCCTTGGATGGTCCAGGACTCCGGGTATAGGGTGATGCTCCCCTGATTGAGATTCATCTGAGGGTTCTGATGAAGGACCTTCTTCAGCTTGACCTCAACCTCTGCATGAGAGCCTTTATCATGAGCCGACACCACTTTCACCGCCAGCACTGCAGCACAAACCGAGCATGGGAATATAAGCTGACTCGATACTGACAGGTAATTATTTAGTATCTTTTATTGTAGTAATAATTCACAACTCAAACATTATCACTAAACCCATCTATAGACGTCCATCAGTGTTAGGGTTATAAAGCCAGGTCACAACTTTTCATTTTTCGTTTCCCAAAATGACCGAATCATAGGTTTGCAATCTGTTATATGATAGTAATTTCCTTGCTAAGCAGCCACGGTGCTGATGCAGACATTGTGCTCAACCTGTTTATTTAATTATTTTATTTAAAAGAGTTGATGTGACGACTATCAGTTTGAAAATCAATCGTTTGACTATCAGTTCCAATGAAAATTTCCAGCACAAGAAGAGTGTTCACTAAACCTTATGAATGAGCCCTCACCCAAACACGAATGCCTTCATGTGTGAGAAGTGTTCTCCAATCTCTTAACAACTAGTTATTTACTAAATTATTCATAACTGCTAAATGATGGGGACATTAACAACATTATCATATCATCATATTATATTATGATAATGTAGGAGAAAAGTAATTTAGCTTTGGCAAACATTAGTGACTAAAACAAGATACCCCCGGTCTAAGATCCAAAGTGGAACAATCAGGATCATTTTTAACATGTTTAACTTTGTGAATTGTTTACTTGATGTGCTGGGTGAGTTTAATCAGACCTAACTGTTATTATAGTCTCACACAGTTCTCTGATAAAATAAAACAAATCACTCACCATAGTCAAACTCTGCAGCACAGAACAGTTTAGAGCTACCAAGGGTCACTTCTGCACACTCACATTTCTCTGGAAAAAAGATTAAAACATGTCAAAACACCAGTAAAGGATTATTTTATCCTGATGTATGGAGTTCATTTTTTAAAAGCAGGTGTTGTGCACACGCAGGCTGATGTGTGTGTGTGGTGTATTCAGCGTGATGTGACCTGTGCCTCACCGGAGTGCTGCAGTGCAGAGAAAAGCTCCTCTGCCCCAAAGACTGCCATCTCACTATCATTGCTGCTGTGTCCCACGAGGCCAGCAGCTGCATAGAGGACCTCCCCATCCGAACTGTGCCGCAGAGGTAAAACCAGTCAGAGGCACTGCTCCACTCCAATTTTTTTATTTTTTTATGCTAACACATATGGCTATGTCTTGGCTCTCACCCAGAGATGCAGTCCCCGGTGTAGGGGTCACAGCCCTGTGTGCAGTCACATGGACGACAGCCATATTCATGAAGCCCCCAGAATCCCATCATGCACCTGTCACAGCGGGGGCCTTCAACACCAGGCTTACAAGTGCACTCCCCACTGCTAGGGTCACAGAGAGGACCCCCGCCTGAGAGGACGGAGCCCACCGGGTGGCAAGAGCAGGCTGCGGATCAGACAGGTGACACAACAGGAGAGCAGCGTGTGAACATCTCTGGCACAGCTCATTAACATTGTCAACCTTTTTTTTTACTTGAGGCAGAAAACCATACTTAAAGAGGCACCAACAAAAAAGGCAAACGCTCCGAAACAAACACTGCAATCTGATAGGTTTAGAATATTTGATCGTCAACAAGTCACAAGCAAGACGATGTCCTGTTGTGCTCTGCCAAGATCAAGATAAGATTATTCCTTGCTATGACAGATTTTGTTTCCCAAAATGGTATGTTCTCTTTTAAAAATGTTGCAGCACGCCTTGTACGGAGAGAGAGGGAAAAAATGGGAAAAATGTGCTCGGACAGATCATGAGAAATTCCTCAATTGTTTGACATTACAGTCACATTCCAAAACAGTAACACAGCTAAGCAAGCGAGGATGACGGCTAGTTGTGCTTGGGAGTGGGATGGAGTCATCCCGTCTCATCACTGTCAAGTCGGTGACTGGGGCGAATACTCTTATCGAAGAGATCAATGTGCTCTAATCTCGAAGTCAAAAGGGAGAATCAAATCTCCATTACAGCCCCTGAATATATCAAAGGCTGCGCCTCTTAATTAGACTTCACAGTTGGCTCCCATCCAGACAGAGTTACGGCGGAAGGCCAACAGAAACTACTCTATAAAGCAACCGGTTATCGAGCGCCCTTACGTTTGCAGGAGTTTGGTGCGGTCTTTGGCTTGGTCTGGTCTCTGAAGAAGCCCCTTTTACAGAGTTGGCAGTGACGGCCTTCTGTGTTGTGGCGGCAGTGGTCACACACGCCCCCGCTCCTCCTTCCTGTGGCCAGCCACAGTCCTCGGCTGAAATGGCAGCTCCTCGCATGTCCGTTACACTTGCACTCTGGGTTTACACGTACAGTGAAAGAGAGAGTGAGGCCACCCCCCCACGGTGAGACGTCAGATTTGAACCTACAGCCCTGGTGTTAGCAGATAAAACTTTTACTGCAGCTGAAATTAAATAAAAGAGAGGCGTTTGCTCTTTTATTCATCATGCATCAGTGTCGAAAAGGTTGCTGTGATTAATGACATTAAATCCATTCTCACTAAATCCATCCCAGACAACACGCTGTGTGTCCCACTCCGCATTTGACTTGCTCGCCCCATCACTCACTCTGGCATTCGTGTGGTGTACCCATGATGCCGTTGGCCGCCTGCCAGGGCTGGTCATTGTAGAGCGGCGCACAGTGCTCACAGTGGTCACCGAGCGTGTTATGTCTGCAGACACACTTGCCGTGAACCTACCAGCCAAACACACAGCAGAGGACAGGGACCTGTTATATAGCATCTTTTTTAACTGCTTGCATCTTCTGAGTCTAACCTCCTATTCTACATTCATCATCTGGCAATATGTTTTGCAGATTAGAGGTTAGTTTAGCAACATTGCCTTATCACGTAACTCTAAGGTCATACATTTTTTGTCGCTCAGTAAAAAAAAAAAAATCCACTACATGAGTTATTGACTAAATATTTACTCTGTCACCTCCTGGGATGTTTTAGAGATAATTATGTGCACGATCTCTACGCTGTTTATTATCGTCAATATTTATGCCTGTATTCAATAACCTACAGAAGTAGTAGTGGTTGCTAATGGTTGCGCAATCATTTGATAATAACTGCACTATGGAGTCAGGGTGCAGGAATTATTTCTTAAACTCCAAATTACAGTATTTCAAAAAGAACTGGTGCCTGAATGTGATAGGAATTCAGCTAATCTCAATTTTAGGTTCTGCAACGTAGCAACATCTAAATACATATTGACTGCATTTACACATTGCACAACAGCCAGTGCACAATGCTTAAGCCCCCACAGTTATGTTGGAATAAACTAGTACTTCGGCTCCCCACTCACAGTTAAGAGAAAAACACGACTCAGACTATGAGTGGTTAAAGTATTAGGCACAATACCATAATTAAGGTTTCCACACTTTCAAATCCCTGTAATAGTAGGAGCAGCTACAGCCTGATATGCAGTCTTTGGTGTGTCCTTGTGCTCCAGGGTGCTACACAGCAGCACCCAGCTGAATAACAAGCAAGAGGTGGGGACGAAACCCCAAATTCACTGCCCCCAATCTTACAGCACAACCAGTTCTGAAGACACGCACACAAGGGAAGGAGCGGCATAAGTTTTTCCTGTACCGGAAAGAGCTCAGAAATCCCGGTTAGGCACGTAAAGCTCACCGTGTTAGTCGTCTTTTGGTGGCTCGGCTGGTATCCCCTGGCCGGCACACAGTGGTCAGCGTGCCCATTGCAAAGGCAGCTGCCTTTCACGATAAAATCGTAGATGGCGTAGTGTTCCATCGGGAGGTCGCTGGCCTCGGCATGCTTGGCCTGACATGGGCACTTCTGTCTCTGCAACAGACGGACTCTTAAGTTGGTGATCATTAGCTGCTCCTGAGCAGCCGGCCCGTAGGGATCTACTGACTGCCAAGGCGACAGAGCCCGATAAATCACCTGGGGATAAAGGGACAGGAGAAAAGAGACTTGAAAATGTTTTTGTTCGACTTTTTTTTTTTTTTTTTTTTTAAACTTCTGGTAAAGTCATCTCACAGAAGTTGATAAAAACAGTCATTATGTCCCTCTTTCATTGGTTATCAAATGAAAAACAGATATAAATCTGGCTTTCCTTTCATGCTCTCATAAATTCTATTTAAACTAACTCCATCCAAATTCAGGGGTAAACATTCATGATTCTGGTTTCCACTCATCCACGGCTAAATCAAGATGTATGAATGGTTCATTTCGATTGGAGGTTTTGTATATCAGATAGAAGAAACTGGTAAATGTATCCTTGAATTTAAATGTGAAAAAGGGAATGAGACGTTTTCTAAGTATTACAAATGTCCCCACTATAGGAGTGGACTTAGGTTGACATTCACTCGCCGGTTCACTCGCCTGAGGAAGTAATTGAGCCAATGACACTTCAAATTTTCTGACAAGGAAGTGTAATTGCTGGTCTTTGATTTATCTCCCCACATGGAGGATGGATGCACCGTCAGCTCAGCACGTGAGAGCCACCCCAAACATTTACAGAACGCATCAGGGGAGCGAGCGACAAGGGAGTCGGCATGTTTAGGAAAAATGAAAACATGTTCTCCATGGTGTGAATATGTGGTAAGCAGCTGAAATTTTTATTCTAAAAATCTGGGTCAATTCAACTCTAAAAAGAGGGATCAGAAGCCCTCCATCAAACTGTGGAACAACTACAGATGAGGGCGATGCAAGTATGTGAGAACAAAATCCTGCTGTCTCATACCATAATAATGGCTTTGAGTGTTATCGGGTAATACAGACCTCCACAGAGGCAGACCTTGAGGAGGACGGAGGGGACAGTCAAGTGGGTCACCCCACACTTCGAAATGACCCGTTTCAATTGAGCTGCAAATTAATGGATGAAAAGGGAACTGCTGTCTCGCAACCCTGATTTATTTTGAGCCAGTCGCGTCAGAGAAATGTCGTTAAGGCCTCCTGAAATTTGTGCCAGCTTGCGAAAAAGGGCCGCCTTTGACATCAACAAACAGAGCTGAATTCAGAGTTGTGTAGGTTCAAACCTAACATGGATTGGCTTGAAACTGTACTGGCATTTCGTGACACTGACCTGGTTCATGTCCATAGCTTTGGGATTTCTAATTTTGAACTAAACTCTTAATTGTAATATTGAATATACCACATAAACATACTGTCTTACCTGATTTGTTGACATTCTGATTTGTTGTGTCAGTTTATGGCATAGTGGGTAAGTTCTGCTCTTAAGTCATTCATTACATTTAGCAAATGTCTTATCACTATGGTAAAAAAGGGATACCTGCGATGACCACCTTTATTTCACAGGTTAAAGCTAAATTCATTAGCCTATGTGCTTGCTCACCTTGTTGATTACCATGTCAAGAACAAAGGTAGGAGGCTAACAAAAGAGAGCCGTGGAAATCTAGCAAGACATACAATTATGAGGTCATCACACATCCATTCAGTCACAAAAAGATGGAAATGAAACCAAAGAAAAGGAGAGAAAAGCTCTTTTCAACTTCTGTGGAACCTTTTAGCAAAGCATGTCTTTACCAAAGACAGTGTCTGTGGCTCTTTGTGCGGATACCCAAAGAAAAGCTTTAGGAGAACATCAAATTCTAAAGTGAATACTAATATCACACGTGGAAATGTCAAAGCAGAAGCAGGCTTTCGAGGTCACAGCCCATCAGAACACATCAGTTTTCAAAGTTTGGTCAAGTATTTTTTCTGTGGACGGCGTGAGAGCAGAGGCAGAAGGTGAGCAGTGCTGCTGGGAAGCGATGGCTCCACAACTTAGAGTAGTCTAATGCAGATATGAATCTTTGAAATGCAATCATTCTTTAATATTTAAACAGTGGTACACCACTTATTCAAACTGTTTAAAGTTGGCCATATTCACTTTGACCGTGTAGGTATGTGCATATGTTTGTATGGAGAAAATCATTTTTGTGTTTTGACCAGTGTTTGTTTGTTTAAGGGGGGGGGGGGGGGGGGGGTCATTAAAGGTTGGGGTTAAACTCATGCACATTGAAGGTGCTGTAAAGAATAAATAATTAAATAGAAACTCACCTCTCCTCTCGTGCAAGGAAAGGCTTCTGAATATTTGGAGGTGCAAGTTGCCCCGCTCTCTCCCACCGTTGAACCCTCTGGGAAGCCAAAGGCCTCCCGGCAGTCCCGTGCAAAGTATCTCAGGGGCCTCCAGGTGCGCGCGTGGTCCTGGGAGCGCTCCAGCACCATGGCGGCTGGGCGCGCGGAGCGGAACACCAGGATGAGGTGGGTGAAGAGAAACTCCGTCTCCAGGTCCAGCTGCAGCGTCTCCTCCTGCACGCCCTGGGCAGACTGCCACCAGGTGTCCGGGTGGCGGAAGGAGGAGTCGCTCATGGCTGAGGGGGGGTGCGCCTGTCTGGGCACGGCGGCGTGGCACCGGCTGCATCTCGGTGCCGGGCAGGACTCCCCGCTGCGAGGGGCAGAAGGCTGCTCGAAGAAGCAGAAGGGCTGGGACGAGTTCGAGCCGCACACCGACCGCGTGGACACCACTCTGCCCAGGGCCAGGTTGCCCATGCGGGGGTTGCAGGCTCTGTCAAAGCAGCGGCGCGCCAAGAGCGCATCCTCCACTTTAGACCCTCCTGCTGGGAGGAGAAAAAAACAAGTTAAACTCAGAAGAAAGTTAAGGAAAAGCTTATCCTGGCTCCTAAAGTCTTCTAGTTTCACGCTTTGCTGGTTCTGTTACTGCTCACCCACGCACGCATCTCTGCTGAGGCTCAGGGACGCGCACAGACGAGGAGCTCAACCAGACAAAAAACTAACAAGTTCAAGTTCAGAAACTCACCGGCGGACACAGAAGAGGACGCACACGCGGTGAAAACGGCCAGCAGAGCCCACAGTCTCATCCTATACAGGCGGGGGATACTTTGCGTGCGTTCAGAGGACTGTGCGCAGCAGATGAACCTCCAGCGGCCGCTCACTTAAATCCTTCAAGGTGTCAACCGATTCATGGAAGGCTGCGACGCAGACATTTCGAAACAGCGGCCTTCTGTTTGTCTGCGTTTGGTGTGGAAACGCCTCATGAGACTTAAGTTCGTGGGCTTTTGTCTGAAAGCATTATCCTGAGATGATTTCTCCATGCCACGCACTTCAAGATTCAAGTTCACTGCGCGGCGTCTCATTGACATTTGGGGATGTGAAGACATGAGCACCGCCCTCCATTGGTCGTTGACAGGACCCCTCCCACTGTGTCCTGCTAAATTGAGCAACAGTCTTTTCTATTTTTGTCCATAAACATCGCCTGTTATATAAAAATGACAAACAAATCATCATGAACATGACAAAACACTGAATAAAGTTCACTGAAAACTACTGTGGATGCCATCAAACACTGACTGAGACATGAGGCTTCCACATTCCTGTCACAGATGTCTCTCACTGCCATTTATTAACCAGCGCCTCACTCTGCCTGTCCTGTAATACAGACCAAACAGCCCTTAACCAGAGGGTCTGTGCAGCCTTTGACCCAAACAATCATCCAGTTGCACACCTTGAAGCATGACATCACCCCGTTGTATCAAAAGAGACACAAATAGAAAAGCAGAGTGTGGAACATGCAGAGGTTCTCAAGCACATTTAACGCTGCGTAAAAAGGTTCTGAGCCAGGGGACAAAGATGGAGATGAGAATATCATCTGAACCCAAAGGCAAAAGGGATCTTTTGTCAGAGGGAAGATGAACTGTGGTATTAATCATTCTCTCCCATGTAAATGTCAAAAGGGGAAGAATGAGGATCCGGAGTATTTCAAGTATCTTCCCTCAGGGATCCTGGCTCTCACATTCCTGAAATGCTGCGACTGTCGTCAGAGTGACGGTTTCACCAGGGCAAGGTTCATGTCTGTGTCTCTTTAGATTCACACGAGTTATTTAAGTTGTCGTCATTTGATCATCGAATCGAATTTGTGTAGTATGTGAGAGGATGTTTTTTCCAACCCTTTGCTGCACGGCTGTTGTATTCCCCGGGAAAATCTGCACATATCACAAGATGATTACTTTTCTTAACGTCCAGCACTGATGTTTTCATCTACAGGCCTAGAAGTTGCATATGCTAACATTTAAGATGCTTTGCTTTTATGATGCCAGCGTCAACAATGAACTGATAATATATGATAAATGTAAGCTTGAGCATGTCCAAAAGAATTTAATTTGACCATAAGAATATCGATCCCCTAATCAATGCTTTCTTTCTATTTGATCAGACTTTTACAGAACTTGTCAGAGTGATTGGCTTTTCTAAATGAGTTGCATGTGCCAGAATGTTTTTTTATGTAGTCATGACAGAGCAGATGACTGACTTAATAAAAGAGTGGACAAAGGAACTGGGGATTTGTAGGTGTTTTAACTTAATATAATCCAAGGGAGCAGAGGGACACATTTAGTATTTTCACCAAATACTGAATAGGTCCCACAAAGGCTGTAGTAAATCTGCGACCTCATCTTCTGAATGGGTTGATTAAAAGTACAAAAAAACAATTCATTTTTATCAGCAACTGGGGACAAGGTTGGATCACCTTGTATAAAATTGAATGAGATCTTCTGCTAACATGACATAATGAGGCGGTTTGTTTGTGGTAACAAGTGATCATATTTTTAGGTAATGCTGCTGGACACTGAGGATATCATGAAACGATCTTCGGGGAAACCTCACGTAGATGCAATTTATAAGTGTTTTTAATCATAAAATACCTTTTAGCCACTCAAATCTACAACTCTGCTGAAATAATAATGACTCCATTAGTGAATTTATTACTTTAAGTAGAACACAAGGACAAAAATGGCTGTGCAGCTTTTGAATGACGAGACCAGGCTGTGGATTACCACACAGTCTATGTTATAAAGGTAAACCTGATGGATAGTCTAATCTCTTAAAGCCCAACCTCTCTGACCTTTTTCCCCCGGTGGGGAAAAGGAAGGTTCAGTTTCTCTTTGTGGGTGCTCTATGGATGATAATCTGAACAAGGCTCTATACCAAACGGGTCGGGACATGTTTAATTTAAATAGGGAGCAATATGGCAGCAAGTCCTGGGGACAGTCTGTAGTTCTTAATGATCACATGTGGTCGGACTTATTGCAATATCTGTAGTCTACACATGTAGGGTTCTCAGGGCTCTGGGCAGTATTTTTGATTAACTACAGAGCTAAAAGTTGAAATCACATCCACTCCAAAGCATTTCAAGGACATGTAATGTGAGACACAGTCATCAGGAAAATGTTGAAAGTCACTTTGTCTGTAATAAATTTGAGAAAAATTGATTTCTTGACTAAACTTCCCTCTGTGGCAGGTGAGCGGAAGCAGAGCACTAAAGAGCTATAAAATGGTGTCATTGTCATGCTGCTTTCCTAGAAAAAATCTCAATGTGACTGTGTCGGACTGCTCTTTGTTCCTGCTTGTAAAAGGTGGTGCAGAGTGACATGTCAGTCTACCAAAAAACATGGATCAGACTAACTCTTTTTTTTATGTCAGGAATTTAAACTAAGCAGCCGTCACATTGCAGGAGAATTAAATATCAATTTGATGAAGACATGAGGGGATTTTCGTGCACTTCCTAAAAAGATAGAATAAGCACTCAGCTGGTAAAATCACTTTGTGCTTAAATGTACCTAAATCCCCTCAAGTTAAAGAGGATGGATGTATCAGCATGCAACGAAAGGGGCTGTTTTAAAGTGGAGGCTTTTTTTATCTTTTCACAAAGCTCACGTGTTTTGACTTAAACATTTCCAAGTTAGGATGCTTTCACACAAAACGCTTGTTCTTAAGATGAAGAAATACTGCCACCTAGTGGTGTAATTGAGACCTAACATGGAGGCATGGATTTAAACAGAAAGTCTAAAACTGTCATTGATACGGTACATTAAAATAAGAAAAGTCCCGATATAACACCGTGCAATTTGTAAGTAAATCACACTTTGTAAATTACAAAACTGTATATACGGCAGATTTATATAGCAACATAAATTCCATTTATGTACCTGTAGTTCTCCCTCTGTCACAGAACGTGTGTAGCATTTCCCGTTGGGGTGAATTTATTTTCCATTTTCTCTCTACGTGTGTCATCTCCCAAAACTATTATTATACCACTATTTTTTTTAGATATTACTGTTAGTTATTTAATCACAAGGAGTTAAGGGTAAATGGTTGTGGCAGCTTGGAGCACAATGTGCTCGTTTGTATGTCTGTTCGCTTGTTCTCAACTGTAGCAGCGCGCGCTCTGTTGCTTCTCGGAATGGTTGAAACGTAAGCTATTAGATACCGAAGTTAACGATTAAAAGAGTTTTTTGCGCTTTTGTCGTCCTGCATTGACTGACTTTGCGTTTATATCTGTAATATAGATATGTAATAACATATGTGGGTATTAGTACTTTAGTCTCCACATGGCAGACATCGTCCCTTCGATAGCTCAGTTGGTAGAGCGGAGGACTGTAGAGGCTAACAGCTGAAATCCTTAGGTCGCTGGTTCGAATCCGGCTCGAAGGAGACCTGTTTTTTTTTTTTGTTGCTACTATTATAATTGGTAACCGATTAAAAAAACAATCCACATTTTTTAACGATATTTCACCAGATACTATCCGTCAGATTTTACTGATATAATTGGAATGTTTTTTCTACGGATCGTGACTAGCTTTAGCTTGTGTCTGAGCGTCGTTGCTTACATAAACTCGTTATAGTCTTGATGAGTAATATCAAACTATTTTCTTAGTGTTGTGGCTCTGTGTAACACTGTTTATTGCAATAAGTGTGTGCAAAAAAAATGTTGGTTGTCATTTTTTTTTCATTGTCTCCTTATTTTCTCTTTCAGCCCCTTAGTGTGGCAGAGTGGGCTGTCAGCATGGACTGGTATGACTCAGTTCCTGGGGTCCTGCCTCTCCTTTGTGGGTTGTTGTAGGTCCCTAGACAGCAAAATGCATCACCAAAGGTAATACTTAGCGTGCACAGGTTTAGGTTATTGCATGTGCAGACGATTAAGTGGTTTTAGATAATTTAAAGTGGTTATTACAGTGGTTCTTTTCGAGCTACGTTAAAAACCTTTTGGTCAGAGGTGGCAATTTAGTGGTTGAAAAGGATTCTGCAGCTTCATTCTAATGTGAAGCACAGATAGATGGTTAGAAAGAACAGTGTTCTGTTTAAAAACAAATTAAAAAAGATAGTTGGGTCCTAGAGTTGGTTGGTGGTATGTAGAGATGTAGGTTGAGCTGTTGGTTAGTATTGTAGAAACTGTTGGTAAAACTGCTGTTTTTGTTGTCATCACCAATAAATGACACTGGTTATGAAAATGACAGATAAATCTGTGCATAATGAGGCAGATGAAGGCATAAAGTCAAACTAAACTAAGACGCACAAATTATCAGATAAACCAGGAAAAGAGGGAAACAGCGCTATGAAGGTGTTTACAAAAGACTGAAACATATTTGCATTAATTATTTAATTTCAAATCAATTTTTCCAAGTGTCAAAGCGTCCTGCTAATAACTGCACCAGTTAAAAAAATCTGTAATCATCTAAATATGGTTGTCACATCTGTAAAAAGGCAGAGGTATTCACATGGCAGGTAAAGCAAGTGAAGCATATTTTAAAGGGATGACAGTCTAAAAAAACTACTACTCTACTTCACACTGGTGGAGGGCCATATACACACAAGCTGATCACTAAGTTATCATCAGAGAAATCTACTGTATAAGAAATACCGCTTATTCTTTAGTTGCTATAACATCACAAGACTTGGTTGGATTTTAATGGATTTTCAGTCTAATCAAAATGATGAGTTATTATAAACAGTAGACGTGCTTTGGGGAAAGTTGTCACTCATGACGAACACGTTTCCTTGGGGAGGCGGGTGGATCCAGGGAGAATGCGGTGGGAGAAACGGGGCGAGACTCTGGGATGTACTCTGACTGATATTTGTCAATGTATGGTTTTGCCACATTCCACACCTGCATTGAGAGTGTAAATGTGCCATTAGAGAAAGGCCCTTTAGGCCACAGCACGGGGGTTCTTCCAGTTACAGTGAGCTCATTATACGGAAGGCCACCGCTTACCTTCTGATCGAGGAGGAGACGGTGAACAGCTTCAATGTCTGGAGACATGAATCTGTCTTTGATCCACGGTCTGTGAAGAGCACGGGGAGACGGCGGAACAGAGGGTAAACATTAACTATCCTGTCCATCATTTCAGTGGACTGAAATGGCTGTACCTTGGCCACATGTGTTTGACTTACTTGACAACACTGCGCACAAGTTCATAGACCTTCTCCAGCGGAGTGGTGGTGCGAAGGGGGCGGAGGAACTCGATACCCTGACAGGACGCCAGCAGCTCTATGGCCAGCACTGATCACAGAAACCCAACACGCTTTGGTCAGATATGTAACGGCCTGGACGGGAAACTGTCGTCCTTAGTTTGATGCTAATCATTTCTGCCACCAGATGAGTACGTACTGTATATTACACATTTGTCATAGTTGTATCAAAAACTTACTACACACATTAGAAAGAATGTCAAATACAGTGGCCTCGACAAAGGCATGTCTTAAACTAATAAAAGTTCACTAATGAAATAAAAGCTTATAAACGCAATCTGACCACCTAAATGAACTGGCTCAACTCACATTCTACCTTCACCTACAGTTTTTTTTAATCAAATTATTATTATTAGTAGTAGTAGTTCTAGTAGTAGCATTACATTGTTGACATTTTTACACAAAAACATCAAGAGAGAAAAAGTAACTTTTAAATTGACAGAGGCTGTACCCTCACAGTTCACCACTCAAATCTGAATGATTGCTTTTATACAAATAATCTCTTTAAAATTAATTTCATTCTAGTAAATTCGCTTGTTTTAATGTGATATCAGATCATTTAAAATCCTGATTAAAAATAATTCGTCCTGTCTCTGTGCTTTGACATATTTGGTGTCACTGTGGGTGATATATTAGAAACAAGCCTATGCAAGTTCTGTGCATTGAATAAGAAAAAAAAAAACCTTTACCTTGCTCCACATGCTCCACAACTCTCAAGGCTTTCCTTGCGGCCCAGCCTCCCATAGACACGTGGTCCTCTGTGGCCGCGCTGGTGGACAAAGAGTCCACAGAGGAAGGGTGGCACAAAACCTTATTTTCTGAAACTGAGCAGAGAAAAGGACTTGATATTGACGTCAGCTGTTTTGCTCAAATTTAGATCAGCATGAAAGGAAATGTATCCCGATAATAAATCTAACATTGACTATCAATCAATGTGCAGCTGCAAGAATCAAGCTTATCCTTAATTTGGAGTGATGATCCTCACATGTGCATCCTTGTACACTAACCTAGAGCTGCTGCAGTGCAGTGGGCAATCATGAAGCCGGAGTTAAGCCCCCCCTCATTGACCAGAAAGGCAGGCAGCTCACTCAGGGAGGGGTTACATAACCTCTCAATCCTCCTCTCGCTGATTGAGGCCAACTCATGGACGGCAATAGCTAAAAAATCCAGTGCCTATGAGAGAGGATATGGTAGAGGAAGTGAAAACAATAAAAGTCCAGACTAAACCCAAGGAGAAATGCAATCTGTCACTAACCTTAGCTGGATACTCGCCATGGAAATTTCCACCTGAGATTGTCTCCCCTCTTTCGGCAAACACCATCTTGTGTAGCTGTTAAAGCAAAAATGAACACTGTGTGCCTCCCAAATCGGCCATACTCATTTCTATTCTGAGTTTTTGTGGTAGTGTTGAAGGAAGGTTCATTGAGAGGCATCGATCCTTTTTTAAAATTTCAGAACAGTGAAGGATACGGGGTTGTCGGTGGCACTGTTGATTTCTGTATTTATGATGTTCTGGACAAAGTTGATGGTGTCGTTGGCAATTCCATGAACCTGTGTGCAGGGAGAGTGAACATTACTCAGAAAAACATTCAATAGCTGGCACACAGGCTGTCCTGCACACTGGACTCTTTTGGCTGTTTTGCCCAGTGGCACCAAAAGTTGGGACTCTGATATGATCGAGAGGAACTTGACCAACTCCAGGTTACCTGAGGACAGCAGCGCATGGTGTAGGCATCCTGGACTCTGTCACAGAACCTGTGACTTTCTGGGGGTGGAAAAAACACCAGCATCACACATTTGGAATGAGTGTTTTGATTTGCTGTGCAGATGGGACTTCACAAATTCTATCATTCATTGATGGCCGGAGGGGCATGAACACCATCTGGACTTGACTCATCAAAACTATTCCTGAGTTCTGGTCAGCCAGACACCTGTTGTGGTATTTTGAATAATGAATAAAGATTGAACTCAGCCCTAAAAACTGTATTAGTGGTAGGTCTGTTGGATTTATTGAAAACTATGCTGGAACTATGAACTATGCATTTTATTCTATCACATTTCTGTTCAAGAAGCTGGTTCCATCATTTTCACCTGCAATCTCAGATAGGTGGTGATCAGAGTCCAGCAGGGAGCGGAATCGTGTGGCCACCTCTATCTGCCCTGGATGGGGCCGCAGCGCGTGGATGTCTGTCGATGGACGCCAGAAAAGGACCGGCGGTTGATGAAATGCAGAATTGAAGGGAAGCTTGTCCCTCTTTAAGCGTGGACTTTCATTGCTCACCACTGTCAAAGGCCTTGGTGGTTCCCTTCAGTACCTCCAGGGAGAGAGCGGCAATGATGTCTGCCTGCCGGGCGATGGCCAGCGCTCGCTCCACGGCCTCTGCCCCTAAGGAGGTAATCATCTGAGTCCCGTTGATCAGCGCTAGACCCTGAGGGGGAAGGCCAGAGAGTGAGACGCATGCATTTTAGAGGCTATTTATCGGCCATAGAGGACAGTGACGAAACCAACAGCATTAAAGTACAACCCTAAAGTACTGTAAGCACTGCAGATTAAGCCATTTAATGGGATATCTGGTCACCCTGCTCTGTTATTATAATAATAATCTATGTAATCACTGTTAATCGAGTTAAATTCTGTTTTATTTCCATGTCGCAGAACCACATTAAAGGTCATTATAAGGTTTGTCAAAGATTCAGTCAGTCGTAATACGGTCAAGTGAAATTAATTTGAATCCAAATCAATGCAGTGACTACATTACTTTGTTATACGTACTTTAATTAGAAAAATGGGGAACTATGGATGAATAATTTAGCTGTGGATCAATTTAGTTTTATAAGCAAAGTCATGACATAGGGTAGAATGTGCTCGGTTTCTGATATTACCTCTTTAGGCTTTAGAGATATTGGCTTTAGTCCATGGGCCTCCAGAACCTGGCCATGAATGAAAGGCAAAAGACCATGTAAAGTCAAGGGTCATCAAAAAGCAAACATGTTTTCCCTACCGGAGCCCGCAACCTTTTTATTCTCACAAGCAAAAAAGCTGGTGTTGTGTAAGCTGCGGCTTCAAAGCCACAAAAAGTGAAACTGGTCTTACGTATTTGGCGTCTGCCCAGCCACTCTTTGGAGACCACATTTTACCCTCTCCCATCAGCCCCAGCGCCAGGTGGGACAGGGGGGCCAGGTCTCCACTGGCCCCCACCGTTCCCTTCTCCGGGACGAAGGACAGGCATGAAGCTGCGCGGTAAAAGATGTTTGAGACGGAGTTTAAAGGCCGGATGGAGGCTCCGCTCTGGGCTCAGCTGAAGGCGACAGGCGCAGCCTACCGTTGAAGGCCTGGATCATGGAGTGCAGAGTTTCCAGGGAAATCCCACTGTAGCCTTTGGCCAGAACGTTGATCCTCAGAGCGAGCAGCATGCGGGTCCTCTCGGGGCTGAGTGGGTTCCCCACACCTGCAGAACGCAGCAGAACTCTCAGACACACTCAGGCCCAGCAGCACCACAGGGCCCAAAATATCCATCTGACAGCCACTTTCAAAAAGAGAGTGCGATTACCAGATGAGTGTGAGCGCACCAAGTTTTCCTGGAGCTCCCTGGAATTAAAAGTGTTAGAGGCAGTCAGTCGACGCATGTAAAGGGTTCAGTCTTTACAAAGATCATGAATGGAGCATAAGATAGTGCATTTACTTGAGCTTGCTGACAGGAATGACAGTCCGGGCAAATTTGCCGAAACCCGTTGTGATTCCATAGACAACTGCAGGAAGAGGAGACAAAGGGAACTGAATACACCTCCGGTACTGCTTTACTTGGAGCTCACCGTATGCACGGCATGTGTCTTTAACCTTTGTTTTCTTTGACAATGGTGTCCAAAAGCTCTCTCGATTGCACAACCTTTTTCTCTGCCTCTGGAGTCAACTGGAAATGTTGGTAGAGGAAGGATTACATGAAGTCAAAGATTACCACAGACACGCCACAACAACAAAGGTAATTTGTTGATAATTACCTTTATCTTGTAGAGTCCTTTTCCTAAATCGACCAGATCTGTCGAAGTAAGGCTCATGCCATCCATAAACATATACTGCAAAGGGAGTTCACAGATCACTCAAAAGAAGACAACGGAATATGTTTTAAAATCATAACAGAAAATTCACTTACCTCTTTAGGTTCTTTGTATGCTGCTGTACTATTTACTGTCTGTTCAAGGATAACTTATGTTTAACTGGTGCATTCATTTTACCATTCCAAATTTCCACAAATGAAAACTTGTTTTTAAAACTTGGTCAGTATTTGCACGATACAGCATGACATAAATGCTAAACAGGTTTAAGGATACAGTTGAGAAACTCCAGGTGCACACGGGATGAAGTCGGTAGACATAGCATCTCCTTCTATAGCTGAAAGTATGTTAAAAATCAAGTTAACTTTGGAATATAGTGTAATCTGCATACAGAATATCATGAACATATGTTGGTGTAGATTATCAGTCATCCAGATCAAGGTAACTCCAAGAACTCCATTAAAGGCAACTGGACTCCCTCTTGGATCTGGAAGACGTTTAATATCTTGTAAGAGGCTTTTTCAGTTCCTCCGGACTGACATTAAGAAGTCCAGCTGCTTTTAAGTTCTGCCTTTGTGACTATTACGCACAATTACGCAAACGCGCAGCAACCTGTAGCACATCTCCATTGTCCCTGAGTGTGTTGTGTTGGTGTACGAGGCGTAACTGTCATTACCAAGTTCGACAAAATCATTATCCTCCAGAACATCCTCGATGGTGTCATCCACATCCAACAGAGCCAAACCCTGGCACCTGCGCACCACGTACCGCGCGTCCTTCACGCACGATATGCCGCCGTTGTCTGGTTTGTTCTTGATGTAACGTTTGAGGGCCTCCTGTCCCAGCCACCGGACCGTGTTGGAGGTATCCCGGCAGGGCACCGCCAGCCACTCATCTCGGATATGGATCGTGAAACGGGGCATTGTGCGTGGAGGGCAAGTTCAGCAGCAATGATCTCTGCGCGCCGCTGTCCAAGGTACCACCTTCAGCCCCACGTCGTCCGGCCACCAATCAGACGCAGCCAGAGGGTCCACGCCTCGCCGATGTCGTACCCCTGGAGACCAGTGACCTCCCCAGGTCGATCAAACACGTTTGCACGTGTTGGCCCACTGGGCTCCCTGACTGTAAGCACAAAGACACACACCATGCATGCTCTCAACGGATTAAATGCTCTCAGGAGCTCCTGTGTGGTGGCAAGGAATTTCTTATAAAAACCTTAATGACAGTGTATCACGTTCAACTATGTATGTTAAAATGTAACTTTGTGTGCTTCACCTCAGCTCTCTCAAAAGATTTTCTACCAGGCTGTAACAAAAGAGCAGCTCTTGTTCCAGTCATGTTTCCCTCACTGTTATAACAAAGATAATTATTGACCGGGCAAACTTCAGCATCCACAGAAGTACAGTATCTTTAATAAGTTGGAATCAAAACTGCATTTCACATCTGCTTAAAGCAAAATTTATTAAAGTAACAACTACAACATGACAACAAACAGTACCACAGGCATGCGCTCATCATCTACAGGGTTGTATTTAGTGAATAACATCATCACCTCTGAAAGATAAGATCTGAATGAGTTTTTAAAAAGTCTTTAAATAGGCCCTCGGTTACATTGCTTCAAAAATGGCCTTGCTTTCACATCAACTTGACAGAATTAACTGTGCATTACAATTTAAACATTTGGGATATCACGCGACCAGTAGCTGATATTCGTTCTACAAAGAATTGCTCAGTACCACCGTCTATGTGCTGTGCATGACACTGATTTTGGAAGCTGCGTATTTAACAGAAAATAGATAAGGACCTTTTAAAAATGTTCTTTCATTTATCTATTTATGTTGAGTAAATTGATAGTTCAAATGAGATACATGTACTGTAAAATTAAAATAAGAGAATAAAGAAAGAAAGAAACGTTGGGATAGAATCATGTTAACTTTGTGTTGCATGGTGTAACAATATTTTTGTCTCCTGGCTCAGATGTTAGTGTGGACGGCCATCTGCAGGGTCAGATGAAATAGTCATTTTAACCAGGCTACTGTAAAGGTGACAGGTTGTTTGTCTCTGTGTTCATCCAGTCACAAACTGGTTAACAGATCTAGTTGTTCCCATTTGTTAATAAATGTCAGCGGGGGCAGACTTCAGCCGTCTGTGGGTGTTTTATATTTTAAAAAATCCCTAAATGGGGAAATGTAGTTGTAGGGATTAGTCACCCATCCACTGGAGTTCCTCTTTGGATGGACATTTTCTCCTTTTGTTTTCTCTCATTTTAGTCAATCATAGAGAAATAACGCAAAAGAAAACATTTTGTTTGTTAAAGAAAATCTATTCATTAATGGGTAACTTAGTTTCAGAAAAAATCAACATGTTTATACATTTGGATGCAAATGTGCCCGTCGGGGTGTGTGTGTGTGTGTGTGTGGTGGTGGTGGTGTGGGGGGGGGGGTGGAACACAGCTCTAAAGCGTCACTTACACCACATGACTTTTAGTTCGTTGTGGGGGAGTTTGAGCTAACGAGGCGGACGTGAATGCACCACGGCAGCCTGCGGTCCGATGATGTCAGTTTACGGACTGTAGGAGTTTCTATATCGCCATGTATGCCGACAGAGAGTAGGCCGACTGCTGGCCGTCAGCGGGCAGGCAGAGGAGAAGAGAAGGGGAGGAAAAGTGTGTTTACACAGACGGCAAACTGCCTGGGGAATCGTAGGGGAGAGGAAGTCAGCCGGCTCTGTGTCTGCCTGCTCCAACTTCCTGCTCAGAAAAAGAAAAAGCGCAGGATCCTATTTCAATCCAGCACAACCGTGCAGACCAGAAGTAAGCATGGAAAAACAGGGAATCACACGAGCTTCGCCTTAAACTTTCACGGAGGGGAAAAGACCGAGTCGGAGATCGCAGGTAAGGTAAAAAAACAAACAAACTGGCATCTTTCCACCAAACGGCGCTTTGTGGGCTCGATGGGGGATTGTAGAAAGTGACACAATGCGCGGACAGATGGAAAAGCCTCCGTTGTTTGCTTTTTTATTAAGTGTCGTGTCAGCGAGCGTCTAACTCATCGGAAGGAGCCACTTCTTAAGTTTGTGACTTGTTTTGGTGTTATTTTGGACAAGAATAGCGCAGATTTCAGAGTCGGGCGCCGTGTGCCGTCTTCCGGTCCGAGCAACATCTTGAAAACGAGTCAGTGAGGCAGAGTGATGATCCAGACCTCCGTGCGCACAAACACTTACCGAAACTTACAAGTGTAAATTTAGGGGAAAGGCCAATTAAAGCGCAATGGAAACCAGCCCCCCCTACCCCCTCCAACCCTCCCTATCCCCTGAACCAGCGATCGCCGCTTCAGAGACGCACTTCTTACGGGGTTCCTGTTGAATTTTCCAGCCTCTGTATACAGGAAGAGAGCAGATTTAGTCACGGCTAAGTAATGTCTGCATACACCGTCTAATCTCATTAGGAGTTTCCGTTCGGGGCCGACACACTGGATGTCTTTGTGCGCGCGGCGTGGCTCCCCCCGGGCCGGCACCCGCCGCAGGGCTCCCCTGCCCCGGCCTAAACTCCCAGCACGCCGCGCTGTTCCTAGAAAGGTTCTGCAGCGCGTCTGCAAAAAGCCCCTCAGCGTTTTTCCTCGTTGCTCAGCTAAGACTGTTGGAGTCTTTTTTTTTTTGGTTTTTGTGTTTGTTTTGTTCTCTCTGCTTCAGAGGCCGGGAGTATACACGTGTGAGGTTATATTATACCACCTGGGATAAGTCACCTGAACGCGCCCCGGGGTGGTGGGAGGTTGATGGGGGGGGTTGCAGAGGGCACAGGGTGGAGCTGCAGAGGGGGACAATGAGATGATCTCTTGACCCCTTTCCTCTGGGACTGTGGTAGGAAGTGTGGCCGGATCGGGGAAGCGCTCCCCTGCTGTGGGATCCCCTCTCCACGCCATTTGTCCTTGGAAGTAGAATAGACGGAAGTCCTGGCTCTGACAGGTTTGTAGTTTCACATGGCAGATAGAAAACTCCGGGGATGGCTCGTGTCGGAAGCCAGCTCAGCCCCCCCTCCCTCTCCCCCCCTCACAGAGATGTGAAATGGTGCGAAAGCTGCTCTTTTATCGTTGTTTTTCCCCGCTCAGTCCACTGCGGCTCCTCAGATAAGAGGAAAGATCACAGCAGGAGAACACAACACCGGTGTCTGTCAATACTTTGACTTTGGCGTTTCAGCTCCAAGCGAATGGAGAGCAGAGCAGGGTTTGACAGCAGAAACCTGTCAGAACACGTATGACAGTTTATTCGCTCACAGTTTCTGCCAATTCTCATCTTTACCCTGAAAATACCCGAAAAGTCCCCACCTCCTTTAGGTTGCCCTCACCAAGTATAGCTTCAATAATCGTTATTAACTATTAATTAAAAAGCTTAAAAAAAACAACACAAAAAAGACATCTTGCAAAGTTCCAAATCAGAAACAACCAACTTTAAGCCAAGAGAAAGCAGCAAATCCTCTCAGATTCAAAGGGGAAAAGTCTTCGTCTGGTCTTTTACCAGTGATTTGACTCACTTAAAGAAATGATCCCTGCGTAAGGCTGGCCCGTGTCCCCGTTTGCGGGAGCCTTTACGGATTCCACGGGCCTTTACCGGTACAGTGGGCCCGATGTGCACAGCCGGTCTGAGCTGTGCCGAAAACCCCCGGACAGGGGTCATTATTTCCTCACTGAACTGACCCTCAGCAGATTCTTCTGCTTTCTGTAAAATCTGTGGTCAGGCTGTCGGGGGACAGACAGACAGACAGCCCCCCCCCCCCCCAAAAAAAACACCACCACTCAGTTATTTGTGCTCTTAGTAGGCAGACAAGCGTTTGGAAGCTGCACATTCCACTATTAAAGGAATAACCCACCCTGGGCCCGTCATACTTCCTGTGGAGAGAGGGCCAGGTTGAACCACAGCATATTTCTGGCTTGAGCTGTTGTTCCTCCTTATGTTTTTTTTCTCTCTCTCTCTCTCTCTCTCTCTTTCCCGCTGCCACATTACACTATACTCTTTTACACACACTGTTCTATTCATGACTGGCTTACTCTTCCTCACACCACATGTTACTGCTCAAACAGGCTGTTCCCTCTTCAGCCAGTAACCTAATTTAATCTGCGTGCAGTAAAACTTGTTGGGCAGAGAGACATGAGGGGGGGGGGGGGGGGGGGCATTAAGTGCCAGTGCAACTTTGTTTTGTCTCG